TCTCCAGCTGCGTAAGTCATCGTCTTGGTAGACTTCACGGGTGAGGTGTGAAACAGTAGGGCCGTAGCGCGATGCTCAATTCGGAGTCTCCCTTCTTCCTTTAGAAGTTGAGGTAGGCGACAATGAAGTAGAGCTGGGGTCTGGGGAAAATCACCGGGGATTGGTTGTGCCGGTGTCGATGGAGGATGATACGGTTTAGCGGTGGCGGGGGTGAACCGAGATGAAGTAGCGAAGAGAACTTTGTCCGAAGTATAGGCACTAGCGTCCTCGGTAGAACGTTGGTGAAAAGTTGGAGGTTGGCGAAGAAAAGTTTCGGGATCGTCCACTCGATCTGTGAGTGGTAGCTGTGAACTACGGGTTAAACGTGAATCCGGGGGAGGGCTCATGTATGAATGTGGGGTTTGAACAACAATAAGGTTTGATTCAGGTGAATCCGGGTGCGGAGATAAGACGTAAAAGTCCGTTCATACGATTTCGATTTGTTTACTCGGGATTGGTATTAGAAAAAAAAAGTGTAAGGAACTTCTGAAAGTCCTCCACCTAAATGATCTCGATAGCGCTCGTAAACGTGAGCGGAGGGAACAGGATACCACAAGGTGGTTCCGACTGATTCTAATGCCAATAAAAATTATAATTAAAAGCTGTCTCCAAAGGATATGAATCTAAATCAGTCAAAGATTCCCTAAGGATTACAAATAATGAATAAAGAAATGTTAAAAGAGAAATATGATGAGCTCACCTGGCTCCAAAGGATATGAATCTAAATCAGTCAAAGATTCCCTAAGGAGCCAATTGTGTGCTTGAAGAATTTGGAAAGATATAATATCTGTTTAGGTCTGAATATGTTTATAGCTAGATTTATGTTTATAGGTTTTGTAATGGTGTTTCGACAACATTACAGTCAGATCACAACAGTTCGTCACATACAACCTTCCGATTTTGACACCTTCTCTTTAGTATCCTTCTGATTTTGACACCTTTGCTTTTGTATGCCACAGAGCTTGTGCATTCAACTCTTGACAGCTGGATCAAGTGCATCATCCTCAGATGGAAACAAGGGTGTCACTATTGTACATATGTTGTATATGTATTTCCTGGAGCTTGTGTTTGCAAACAAATATTGTTGTACTAAGCGCTGCCAGCATCACAGAGGTTCTCTGGCCTAGGCTCTGATAATCTGGATAAGCAATTCACATGTAATCCATCAGGTAGCTTTGTTCAGATCAAGACAAGAATTTTGAAAAATTGACTACATACATCAAAATGGCTACTTTTGAAATGTTTATGAAGCAACAGTAACAGAAGGGGAGTCTGGCTCCCAGGCCCTATATTCCCATCTGGGAACATCTTTGATGCCAGTGAGGTCACATATCTCACTTCCTACAAGAGTTAATATGCCAGTTTCTGTATACATCATCTGCAATTGCAACACTCAGTGTTTTGTGTTTTCAAGTTTTTTGGATTGAATTGAAACCCAACTCACCAAAAATCCAGGATGCATGCAAATGGTTCCTCAGGAGGGGCAGTGCCTCTGGGGTCCAGAGCAACAATGTTGAAAAAGAACCAATGACTGAGCCTCATCATTCTCAAGAATTCCAAAACAAATAGCAATCAATGAAAGAAAAATTGAAGGGATTCAGGCACCTTTCAAAGAAGCTGACACTGCAATACCTTCAACCTCAGGCTCCATTAGACATAACTTGATTGCTCCCATCTTAGTTCCACACACAAAGAACACAAAAAGACCTATTAACCTGGACAAACAACCAAGTCAAACAGCTTCACCACCAATCAAGAAGAGTGTTGTGGGGAAGCGTGTAGATCATTCATTGGTATGCCACTTGTAGTGTTTCAGACTCCTTCACAAATTGTGCAACAAACTGTCAGCAAAATGAGAATTTTTGGAAGTCTTGATTTGAATTGATTCAAATGAAAAATGAATGTGGGATCTGTGAACAATCAGATAGATACTCTGTGAAGGCAAGCTGAATGGACAGTAGTGCCTTCCAAGTCCTCTCTGATATTCTTCATTCCTAAAACAAATTCCTTTGGAAAGAATTCTCTTTTGAGAAACCACAAGGATGGAACTTGATCCACCTTGATGCATGGAAGTTGTGATGGAATAGCCATTGTGAAGGATTCTCTTTTAAGAAATTAGAGACTTAAATCCTTAATGTTAGATATGTGATGCAGCTTTGGGTAAGTGGGTCTCATTGGCTGTCCTTCCACTGGGTGGGTAACCAGGGCTTTGTTGAAGTACATTCACATTGATCCTTTTGATGGATGCAATTGGATGGAATTGTTGTGAAATTCCGTTTGTAAATCTTGAGAATCAGCACCTTGAGGTCAATCTGTGCAAAGAAAACTTTGCAGACTCAAATGAGTTCAGGAAGCAGGTAGTAGTACTATAGCACCAACTGAATTTCAGTCTCAACTTTACCACAATCTGAACTTGTAAACTAATTCATTTTTTCAACCTTCCAGCCATCATTTGTCATATGTGCTTTTGGAACTGCTTTTTCAATATGTCTAATAATCCTTCTGGCAATTATGTTCATTAGTCTCCAAACCATTTTGGGTTTATTCGACAATTCATACACTGAAAACTGGTTTAAACTCACTGATGGTCCAAATCTGATACCAAGTTTATGATCATGGCCAAGGAATAAGTGGGATCATGTTGACAATGGAAAACCTTAAAAAGGCTGCTCAACAAGAAGTTGAGACAATTTTATTTCAGCCATTCTTCCAAAATCAGCTTCCAAAAAACTGACACATTCTTGGTGTTCTTACTCTTGACCTTTCTAGCAAAAGTCCTTGGCTCATGCGGTTTTGGCTGCGCAATACATTATGAATGATGTTTGCCCTACTCCGCAAAAGGGGCTGAATGTTTCAGACCACGTGTCAAAGCGCAAATTAGTCACCACCAAGTTGATCACTTATCACAAGACGCTTTGGAATGTCTGTGCCAAAGGTTACCATATCATCAATTGGCACAAAGCAACCAAGGATCTTGTCCTTCACGCATATGATCAAATGGGCCAAAGAAATAATGAGTCAGTGGGAAACCCAGAAAAGACCATGCTCACAATGTCCCCAGTTCTATTGGCCAAGTGTAATAAGACAGTCAAAAATGCAAGCAATAACTCAGTCAGTCAAAAACATCAATTGACTTGGGGGTATACCAAGATGCAGGGTATGGATCTTCACGTAGATATTGACAAGGCCGGAAGACTTGCCAGTCTTTTGAATATCCACAATTTCATTGCTTTTGCTGATGTACCCAAAAACAAAGTGGACTTGGTCACTGTGGCTTTTGGAAAGCCCAGCATCACATTTTATCAATTCATATTTCTGGATTCTTTTAGCACATGCAACATGGAACAATGTGGCACTCCTTTGGGAACTGCCCTTGCATTAAAGGACGGTGATGTTGCATCAAACACCGGTTCTTCCTGTTTCAATAGTGCCTTTGTACAGGGGAAGGCATTCTGAATGGGATTCATATTCGGTGAATACACCAATAAGTAGATGACAAGTATGCAGGCCTGGTAGAAAAGTTCCACAATTTGTCTGCCATGATGAACACGTGCATTGTACAACAGTAGGACCAAGTCGGGAACAGGGTATTGGTTCATAACAGGAAACCAGATTGATTACAAAAAGAACAACTCAACATGAGAATATGAAATGCTCCTGCTAGTGATGACATAGTAGAAATCTTACCAAGTCATTCTTGAGAAAGAGCTCTATGTCAATCCTTTGCACTGGCCCCTCTATTACCACCCCAGAAATCATTCCTTGCTGGCCACTCATAGGGAGCAAGGTCTAAGAAGATTGTTATGTATATTGAGCCGGGCACATAATTTGAGATCCCCACTTGACCCGATTATATGTTCAAGAGGTGTCACAGCCCACAACCCCACTTTTATCTGCCATTCAGATGAACAGTGAGCAAACTGGTACCCAAATGAGAACAAAAAACATCAAGTGGCACGTACCAATGAAAACAAGGTATTCTGGTGGCATTTTGGCAACACACATCCTGAAATCATGTCCACGGGCTTGATTTATATGGACACCTGGATTAATTAAGAGAGAGATTTCAAGGTGGTGACACAATTCACAAGAGATGGTTGCACAAGAAACTATCAGGCCTGACATTGCAAAGATTTCCAATTGCAACTCGTTCAGGTAGACCAATGGCTAAACAACCACAAGATCATGAAGAATGGCAAGATTCTTGTCAGAAAATGGTGAGGCCAACTTAGTTGTTGATATGTTGCTGGGCCGTTGCATCACTGTTGGTGTTTTAGAAAATGTGTTTCCACAGGTATAGAGAAACTGGTGATGCAGAAGTACATAACAGCGTGTTGATCTTGGCAAGTCAGACATTTTCCATGGCCATCCAAGTTACCACACTACTAAAAAAATATTGTTTTCCGGGCAGAACACATAAATGATTTATGTCATTAAGTGGACCCCAGAACACAAATATCCCCTGTTACTTAAGTCTGGGGCCCAGAAAACAAAAACACACAAAGATGCACATTTTGTAATACACCCTTCTCGAATTCTCAATGATTGATCAGTTGCAATGCACTAAGTGTGTATGTAGTCATATGTAGCCAAGCAAACAGCTTCCTACGATACATTTTGAAAACTTGTTCAATTTGGAGGTGTGACTGTGCAAGAAAGATAAACGTGGGGTTATGAACCATCATCCTTTACATTGATACACTGTTCATTTGTATCTGGAGAGCGGCAAAAAGTACAGTCACCAAGCTTAGTGACTGTGCCTACATCATTAATCAAGTGTGGCCGCGATTTTTGTGTTCCGCGACGTTCATACATAATACGGAAGTTGATTTGCGCATCTTTCATGTGGCATCTTCATGACAACGGCCAATGTAACTTTTATCAACTCATCCTGGATGAACATAGACTTGCATGTCATCAAGTCACGCACCACCATACCTCATTTTTTCTTCGTTCTGCATATGATGACGTGCATTCCACATCGATATGATAAGAGTAAGTCCATACTCTTGTGTTGCACTCTCCCTCCACCTTCTCCTTAATTTTTTGTCTCTGATTGAAATCTTTTTGCTTCACTGTATCCTCGTAAGCGATGTCCTGCCCATTCGACCCTAGTGGCCCCGGGGTATCCAAGCAGATGATGTTGGATTGGATGCATATCCATCATCCAAAGACTCCGATACGGCCGAGGATTGACCCAGTTAGCTTGGCTCAGCTGGTTCGATCAGTCCAGCCCAACCGTATGTCCTTGGCAAAATTCTATACAGCACTCAGATTTGTCGAAATTGATCAAGTTATATTCCTCGTAACCTTTGGTCCATCAATATAGATTTCCCTGACTCGGCCAGTGACGTGCCTGCTCATGCAACCGGAAGCACTTCGAACATCGACGCATCCATCTCGACCAAAGATCAGCCTGCTCCCACAACCATCGAGATCAACAGTCCAACGGCTACATCACAATATCCTAAACTTGAATCACTTCGGAACATTCAAGATTTGAAAAGTTTCAAACCACCGACTCCACCATTTTTCAAATTAAACACAGTTGGACGCCAGGGAAAACGAGTTGCGTCCTCCGAGGTCAAACCCAGCCCAAACGGTACTGAACTGAGTACAAGTGTGTATCACTGCTGTTCCAAATCATCCGTCTCTAATGTTGTATTTTTGTCCATTTTCTGAAGGTTCGGACGTGCGTGGTCCAAGTTCGAAGATCTCCAAGAAGAAAAAAGCGAGTGAAGTTCTTATCTTTCAATCTAGTCTATATGTATGTATGTGTTCTGTGACTAACACAGCCTGTTGATTCAGATTGTTCATCTGTCTCAAACTCTCAACAAGCCTACAACTTCAACTGAGGCTGCAATTCACCAGATCCATCCATCCTCACCCGGTCACTCGATTCCAAATACAGCTCTCACTTTTGCTGACGATGAGAAGGATCTCAAAGACCTGCACAACACTCTATCCTTGCCAGCCTTGCCTTTACAAAGAACTATTTCCAAACTGAACGTTCCCAAACGTAATGCGATAAAGAAACCGCCCGCCTCTGATCACATTCAACACCGTACTGTTTCTCAAAAGCCGCCAGATTCGGAAAGTACTGGAATCGAAGATCTTATAGATTTCTCAGATACTCATTGCATGGATGTCGGAAATATAGGTTTGTTTCTGTTTTCTTTTTGTCTTTTCCCAAGTTGATAATGTTGAAATTGTTTCTAAAGTTCTAGGCAAGGATATTCCCTCGATCTCTCCAACCACTGTGAATGGAAAGAAGCGATCTGGCGTTGATGTGTTTAAGGAGGAAAGAGGACGTGAAGAGCGTAGTAAGTAACATTCCTCTCATCATCTTGCACGTTTTCTGTTTCAAAAACCAATTTGTCTCTATTCAGTCTGTCGACTTGAAAGCTCAATCACTCAGATCCTTCAAGATGTTGGTCAATTGAGCGCCGATGTCTTACACGCCAAAATGCAACTTGAAGATCAGGGTTTGTTTGTTCTTGGTTTATATCAATCTTTGCATGGACTGATTTAATTGTTTAATCTTTTCAGCACAAAAGATCCAAATGCTCGAAACAGATAATCAAAGCCTCAAAAGAACAGCCCAACTTACGAATACACTCAAGCCAAAAGTCACTCAGTTGGAATCTCAAGTGGACACCATGCGCCGCCAGGTAGACATAGATCACGAAGAGATTGCAACACACAGTCAGATCCTTGAGAAATTGATGGCTTCAGACGATGATGATGATGAGAGTTGTGATTAGATTAACAAGCTTATGTCAAGATCTCATCATCTGTGAAGATGAAGTATTTCCTCCACTTTAATCACTATACACAGCAATTTGTTTTGTTTTAAACTATAGAACAAGACATTCAATGACGTATTTGTTCCTTATCAGAGCCAAGCTTCTACTTTATGAAAATTATTTGTACTCATAAGTAGCCTTCATCTTCATCATACGCACTAGGACTTTTTGCCGACGAGAAGTTGTTGACTGTTGACAATCACATGAGCAGAAGTCTCTTTATTGCAATAAACACAGCAGTTGAGACGAGAACAATGGAACTCATGTGACACAATTTTGTAAGAAGGATCTGATCCAAGTCAAGACACTCCCTAGTCGCATGAATTGATAATTATACTTACACTCTTCGTCAAGAAGATTCAAACCCCAACAATTGAATTTGACTACAGAAGAGACAAATAAACCAGTGGAACAGACAATTAATAAAAAAGAATGATTCTTTTGTTGAATGAATGTCTGAAGATCGCGAGGACAGCAGAGGAAGCGTAATCTAGCGTAATAGTGTGCAATGTGATTGTTAATCAATCTCACGTCTCACAATATTTCAGCATACATTGTTTTTACGTGAATGTGCATGCGGTGTTGAGATTTTGTTGTATAGGATCGACAATTAGAAGTCCCCTAAGACTCGTGCGAGGGCTCAGATATGTAGCTCTATCGCCATATTGCCCCCTCCCACCTAAATTATTGATGTAATCAAAAACAACAGTATATGCCCCATGGACCACACGTGGATGGACCACTCAATTGGTACACATATACAATGTGCCCTTCTTCGTATCTAAATTTGATCCAGCTCATATTCCCAGAGTTACACGAATCAATACTTCGTAATCATTGGATCCTCAACTTCCTAAACTCATTTCCCATTTCCCTATCTTGTCTGATATCTACAGTACGTATAAGGCTCACTCGTCATCGATTTAATACAATCAATTCTCTACGTCCGCGATTTCATCTTTTCTGATTATCCGCTTGATCTCCATACAGTCACAAAAACACTTAGATCATTATCGAAATGTCAGAATCTGAAATATCAAGCAAACAACATAGTTTCGCAGCCCATCCGACGCACCAACAAGATAACAAAAATAAAAGTGGGAGCTTTCTTGTTCAATGTAGACATAACCTGGTCTGACCCTTCAATACTTGTTCTATCTGTAGATGAGCAGTTGCACGAAGGGCTTGCTGAGCTCCGAATTTCACTCGACTCCGTCAAGCAAAAGATGATGACTCTTGCCCAAAATGCAGAACACAGTTTCTCCCGGAATGTGGAACAACGACACCAAAATGGTTTGTACTCTCTAGGCTTATCTATCATAGGTACATCGCAGCTAAATGCATGTGTGATATAGAGCGCAAGATCGAGGACCTTTCGACAGCTCTAAAGCTTGCAGACCGAAGATTCCACAAGCTCGAACGGAAAGTCCAAAAACTGGACGTCAAGATAGATAATATGGAAACCGAAGCTTACATCACCAACTCCAAAGTTGACGGACACGATAAGGTTTTTAAAAAGATTATAGCGATGTTTGGTAGTATTGATCTTCAGGGGGAATATGATAGCTATGAAAGCGCTAGTCAAAAGGCTGCTGGTGGCAGTGATCAATAGGAGTGCTGTCTCTAATCATTACAATATAATTGATACCATTTCATTTAAATATATGTTGTTCTCTTTAATGTTAGGACTATATTCGTGCTATATCATCATCATGTTGTGATTACATTGGTTGTTTTTTTGCATCACAGCAAAAATCAGAAGCTTCACATGTGAAGCTTAGTTGCCAAGGAAGATGCATTAAAGCTGAGTGATGTTCAGCAAACAAACCGTAAAGGTTTTTTTACAACAATGACTGCGCAGCTCCATAACAATGATGGCCTCCCTTGTATTTAATCATCTATCCTGTTGGAGGGACTAGACATGCTGTGAGTTATTCGGAATAGTATTTAATCTCCCTGACTACATAGGTTATGAGTCATATGTATACATGTTCTATGTAGTTGATGACCCCGAGTTCACAACGTGCAACCTGAGTTCTCTTTGTCAAGAACTCCTTTGTTCATTTTTTATTTTCTCAACTCACATTCGACATGGCTTTCGCAGCTATATGTGTTCGAGTGCCTCCCATCTCACATTTTATCATAGCCAGCTTTCCACTCACTTCTTTCACCTATATATTCTTTCTTCGTTTCGTATTACATTTTTTTCTATCCTTTTCATATTTAGACTTCATGGCCAAGCGTACAAGTTCTCGCTTAGCGCACAACAGAAATCTCAACAACGAAATTGAAGCCGAGATCGAGAAGAACGAGGACGATGAGGCAAAGAATCCAGTTGATCCGCCAGCAGGTTCCAGAAAAAGGAAAAAAGGTAGTACTCGGGATGAACCAGCACCGGAAACACAGATTGACGGTAAGCCCTTCACAGTCCTTTTCCGTTTGGAGTTCCTTGACAAGGAGGGATTAGAGTGACGAACTGACTGAACTCCAAGAAACACTAGAGCCAGCACAAAGTCTCCCGGCGGCCAGTAAAGACCGTCTACTTCACCTCCTTGACAAGCATATCAAAAAGAAAAAACCAAGACGATCTAGTGCCGGTCTTCCAAAATCGACTGTCCAAAGCATTCCGATTCCTATCATTTCGATTCAGACTGAAGTTCAAGATCAGCTAGATGTACAAGAGAATCAGGTTGACTACTCGAACTTCGAAGTGGAGGACCTTGTCAAAATGGTTTCAGAAGTGGGCGTGGACACTCGGGGAATGGACAAATTGGATTTGATCCGGAATTGCGAAAGGTTTAGAGATTTGAGTAAGTTTGGAACGGCTGTTTTCTCATTGAAATGATGTTAGACTAATTCCAGTTGTTTTATCTTGGACGTCATTGTAGTAATAACACCCCAGCATCCTCGTATCGATCATGCGAAAAAGGATCTCCCAAAATTGGTGGCATCAAAAGGTCAAGGCGATCAGGGTGAGTCTGTCCAGGCCGATCAGGCTTCCTTGTATGATATGCACTGATATTTCAATGACCTAATCTGCAGCAGGTCCCGAAAAATCAGCGACAGAACAACCTCAATCAGATACAATCGACACTTCAACATCTGCGTTTGCGAGTCCTGCACATGAAAAATCATCAAACATTCAATCAAGTCGCACGATCCCATCCTCTAACGCAGAATCTTCCAGAAAAAAAAAGAAACAGGGTGAGTACGTCCAGGCCGATCAGGCTTCCTTGTATGATATGCACTGATATTTCAATGACCTAATCTGCAGCAGGTCCCGAAAAATCAGCGACAGAACAACCTCAATCAGATACAATCGACACTTCAACATCTGCGTTTGCGAGTCCTGCACATGAAAAATCATCGAACATTCAATCAAGTCGCACGATCCCATCCTCTAACGCAGAATCTTCCGGACAAAAAAAGAAAGGGAAAGAAAGAGCTCAAGAGGAAACTGAAGATGACTACGAGGAAGAGCAGGCCTCTAAAAGCATTCATGACACCGACCACGATTCTGACAACAGCGTAGAGTTCTTTCATTCACATAAGTCCAAGAAAAGAGATGGTACAAAGAAGAAAGATAAGAGCACAGAAGAAGAAGAGGACGTAGGTCAGTCAGAGGTCAACAATACAACCAAAGGTTAGTGTTTTTGTACTACAAGCGTCAAAATTCAGCAAATGATGATAAGCTCATCATGTTTATCACCTGATTTTAGAAAAAAGGAACGCATGCAACAAGCATATTTGCCTGGCCACAAGCCAAAAGGTTGAAAAGCTAGCGCAAGAGGTGAAATATTTAACGGAAGTGGTCGAAGGCCTTGTAGGCAAGGATGGCGAGACAGTGGTCAAGAAAAAGACCCGCGGTGGAAGAACATCAGTAAGTAGCTTTACGACATCTTTGGTGAGAATAACTCAATCTAACCCATTAACGTTTTGGGTAAGGCCCACGTTCGTTTTCATGTTGATGTGATGCTAGGTAGGAAATCCGAAACGAGTCCACCTCCACCGCCGGCAAGCACTGAGGAGAAGTCAAAGTGGATGTACGACCAAGATATTGATACCATTGATATTGACATTTCTGATCTGCCACATCCTTCTGGAGATCAAAATGCATCCGACCCAAATCTCCCATATCTGGATGGACCTGGGCATCCAGATGCTACCCCTCAACAACTTGCGGTAATCATGAAGCTAATGAACTCGGTTGGTATGGAAAGCTTTCGGCCTGATTTCGCTGATTCGGCTCAATCACTAGAAAATAAATGGCTTTGGGAAATCTCAGAAAAGATATTTATCAAGCTAGTTGGGTATGGAGAGTATCCGGGGGTGTCCTTGGACACCGAGAATAGGCAGTACATTAAAAAATGTTTTGCTACATACTTTCAAAGTTTGAAGAAAAGGTATGCGCAAGCTTCCTCCTCAATATAGTATTGATTTGAATGTTGATTTGTACATCTCTTCCACCGGTGATCTCTTCGCAGGTATCGTAAAGAGCAGTGGCAGACGGATTGTCAGAAGGCGGCAGATGATACAAACAGGCGCACAACAAGACTTGGTCGTGTTGGTCCTTTTAGAAATATGCATATCTGAAGGGTTACTGACAATCTCAACTTCTTTTTGTCATCCAGCTCAGAAAAGCACGAAAAACTATTGTAATGAATCACCGTTCATTATGGCCTCTTTTACCTTTGGTCGAATCTGCGTGCAGTGATGATGAAACGGAACCCGAAAGTGCATCATCAGACACAGCGCCAGGAGATAAGACCCCTATCCATGTCAAGAACCTCAAGTGGCGCAGTGAAAACCTTTCCAACATCTGGAAACGCCTTGACGAGTCTCAAGCACGGTTCAAGAAGAGTCTTACTGCGCGCAACACCTCTTCACCTCGTGGTTGTCCTTCACGTCCACGTATTTGAGTGCAGAACCCTTCTTTGAGTAAGATTCCAGTACCCGAAAACTTACCCAAGGACTGCTACTCGAATGAATTTCTCCATAGCCTTACCGCTAAGGAGAAAGCACAGATGAATATTGATAATCGACCAATAATACCTGACATCCGCAACACCTTGGATGGGCTCGGTTTCTAGGTTTGTGACTTGCTTTTTATATAATCAATTTAGACGCAACTATAGAATTACAACGTAAGTCCTTCTATGTTCAATCTTACACAACATATTTTGCTCAGGCTTTGTGTTATGAAATCTTTATTTCGCAGATATGAGTAATGAACAAGCATGACCTCCCAGTTAAAGGAAAATGTTGTGTATTACAATTTAATAGAAGCGATATTTGTATGAATCAATATTATCAAATGTAGTGCACATTTGTACAAAACTGATTGTGCGCTGAGTAGACCTGATGATGATCTAAATGTGAGGTTGTCCCTCATTGTAAATTTATCAATACTTTTTTCTATCTATCTATTGATACTAGAGCTACGGTAGGTATGTCAAGACTCTTGTGTATCAAACCAGGCCTATACATCATCCACGCGCAGTGGGCTATTATCTCGTTTATTTTCACAAGTCTGTCGGTTGTTGGGCCCCAAGCACGTAGGTGAATTTGCGCATCAGGTGCTTTCACTGAGGCAAATGGATCATATTGTCTGAGTCTTGATGGAATCTCGGGGAAGCACTGAACCTGTACCCAAGTTTCGGAACAGGTCCTTTCAGCTTCTGAGGATCTTGAGTGTCTTGAGTGAGTAAAAATTGAGAATATTCTTCCGAAGGCCACTGTATTGGTTTGACCAATTTTGAATGCCACAAAACTGTCTTTCTGACTTGCTGAGACAGTGGAAAATGACACGCCCATGTGTGCTATGCGTTTATGAAAGAATGCTCGTGGAGAGACTGGCAAAATACCGACTGTCTCGTCTTCACTAAGCAAGCATAAGTCTTCCGGTGTCATCCATTGCCACGATCCTCTTTCTTCCCCGTTTAAGCGTTCAGTTAACAATTTCAAAACATTGTTATCGATTGGTAACATATTACCGTTTGACTGCCGTCTAGACCGAGGCTCTTCTGGCTGATATAGTGACTGGAGTCTCGTAGCATACGCCACAAGAGGCTCTGGAAGTTTGTGATCCCTCAAAAGAGCGGCCAAGTTTCCTGCAGAGCAATATCTTTTCAGGAAGGTGATTTCAAGCTCACCTGGTCAAATTGAAAGGCAAAATGACATCCAAGAGTCAGTATTGTACAGCGTTTAAATTTTTTTGACAAACGGACCTATATGATTATTGTGGCAACCCTTGAGTATACTACCCATCAACCTCTCGAAAAAAAATGACCACCATGCGCGCACCGGACCAAAACGTTTCAGAAGGTCAGATAGATGAATTGCCATATGGTGATTAGGTGCAAGATGACAATGCTGAAATAATTCTAGCAAGCTACTCAGGTATTTTTGGATATGATGTTCATATCTTTTGATTTGGTCAGATGTTATATCTCGCTTGAGGGCAAGGTTGACAAGCGATACGAGATGAAGAAAGTTTCTTAGAAGACTTGTCTTAACTTGATCTTGACCGAACCACAAGGATGTCATTATAAGCGGTAACTGTAGAGTAAATAAGTTTCTCCACTCGTCAGCTTTAAGCTTGCCAAATGATGCTTTACCCAGAACGGGGATGGCGCGTTTAATCCAACTTGGAATATTGATCAGATGTAATTGAGAATTTATATATTGTAGCATCTTTTGATCAAATATGATTTCATCCAGAGGTGGTGCATCCCATTTTCCGTTCCATCCTGAGTCGCCGAGGGGATCAAAGTCCTCATCACTGGTGTTGGTGTTTTCATCAAAAGACAGATCCTCAAAAGGAACCCCATCCGTTTCCTCGTTTTGATTTTCAGAGTCTTGATCTTCATCAACATTTGATTGTACTGGCTCTAAATGTTCCAGGACAAGATCTTGAAGCTCAGATTTTGTTATCGGAGGTAGGTTATCTTCTTCGTTCTTTATATCTTCCATTGACCAGAACCTGCGTAAATGCCACGCAAGAAGCCCAAGCAATAGGTTGTGCATAGAGTCAACTACGTGGTAGTCTACAATGTCCCAGTATTCAAGTTCAACCAGTACTGAATACCGAACTCCGTGAGTTTTAAAAATCTTCTTTCGTTCTTCGATGCTATTCGAGTCACGCGCTTGACATGCCCATACCTTGTGCTGTGCTGCAGTGCGTCTTTGCCACGTACTCGGATCTAAATTGTTGATTTCTTTCTTAGTCAGGTGACAAATTGAGCAGAAATTCATTGCCGTTGCACTGGGAAACCCCAATGATCTCCTAAGAGCTGGAATATCAGCTATGAACACTAGCAATGCAGCCCTTATTAGACGTCCATTTTTGTATTGATGGGTTCGTGATAAGAGCAATCCTGGGTTCCATAGAGCTTTCAGTTCGGTCACAATTGGGCGTAATATCCAGTTCATTTGCTCCAGCGCAGGTTCACGAGGACCAGGAGCAATACCTACCAAGAAAATGTTTTCTGGTTGATATCGAATGTCTAGCAGTGGAGTAAGGCATACCAAAACGACAAATGTAATTGATGCATGTTTTCCGCTAGTTTTGTTTCCATACGGGTTTATGGCGTCGACAAACATCCCAAACATCAAATTTCCACTTGTAGCAGTGTACTGACCACCATGTGGGCCACGAAACTCCTTCCATACTTTCGACTCATGGATGTCACTCCATTTGCCATTTGGATTGAAGGGCTTTTGAGATTCCTTGAGAGATTGATCAAGCCTTTCTTCAATTTCTGGACGAGAAAGTAAACGTGCAATCCAATCGGAAAGCCTCTGAAAGGCGTATCACCTAAGTGGTCTCTTTTTTCCGCGCTTGAAATGTAACAAGGGATGGCCGCAGGTTGTTTCCACAAAATCCGAGTTATTGGGCTCATACAGAGATTCTGAAGAAATTGTCTCGGTGTTTGCCTCAGATGATTCGGGAGGTCCACCTGGGATTTGAGCATAGCGATGTGTACATCTCTCTGGAGTTCGATTGAGCGGGTAGAGAGCAAAGCATGATTGGCAGCAGTTCATTTCGATGAGAACAGGCTCAACGTTTAGCCATTTGGCTGCGGTGGTAATAGTTTTTGGAATGCGGTTTAGGATGAGTTCCTCGGGCCTTGTGAGGAGGATTGGAGGTCGAAATATATTGATTCTCCCGGTTAGACACATCTCAATTACGATCTTGAGACAGTCAAGGAGCCATCTAGCAGTATTCATTGACAAGTTGCCAAAGATGTTCAGGATTGCGACTATCAGAACAACGTGTAGTAGTACTGGATTCATTTCTTGCAAGGTGAATTCATAGAACCGGTCTGTATGGCCATGAAAGGTTAGTGAGCTGATAGTACAAGACTTGATGAGTGAATGTTGATCAACTCACCACACTTATATACTTCAACACCTGCTGCCTTGGCTTCCATTGCAGCCAAGCAAGTTTTTGGAAGGGGTGAGGCGTCTTTGGGTTCGTCGTCTAGTGATGCTTGTGTTCCTGAGTAAGCAGTCACGTTCGGCTGGTTATCCTTGACAAACAAAAGACAAACACTGTAAGTCTTAATCTGTAGGGCGCGAATGAATCCTTTCACACTCAAAAGTTACCTGAGATAGATCTGCGCCGTCCGAAAGCAAACGAGTACTGGAACTAGGAGGTGGTATAGCACGATTGATCGGATTCAGAGCCAAGCGTGATATAGAGCTGACAAGGGTATCCTGGCCGGTTGTATGGCTTCTCAAATCACGAGAATATGATGTATTGGAAAGACTGGCGGTGGCTTCGGCTGCTCTGTCAGCCAGTTCATGGGCAGCAAGAGTGTCAGGTAAGACCTCCACTCCTGTTTGAGTAATCCCGTGGGCGTCGACATATTGACCAAGGTAACAATCAAATGCGCGACAGACACATTGTACTCGGTGTATTGTGTTTTTTTTCTTTGTTTTTGGTGGCATGCTGCAGGTATCAAAGTACGAAAACGGTAGGAGCTGAAAAGTGACTGATGTTCACTTTCTAAGATGATAGACTGGGGGGAAAGGCTGCTGGTTGCTCAGTTTGTTCAGTTAACGGGCAACAGACTTTTTGATGTTTCACAACAGATATCACTGGTGTCAAGACAACTAATCCGAGGTTTGTGTTGGTCAGAAAGAGTTACACAAGGAGTAATTAGACAATGTTTACATCGCTTAGAGATGTACAAGACGTATGAAGAACATGAGATGGTCAAACGGAACCGAGCTTCAAACGTGTTTGGATTTGTCTAAAAGATACATCCGAAGTAGTGATTTACAACAATCGATCATCCGACAAGGAAATAGATAAGATAAGACATGAACAATTGATACATATGCCGAGTCTCAGGTGTAATATAGGCTGCTTGAAGTGTTTGATTGTTACAGACAGACATAGAACAGTGCATGATAATCAGCATGAAACGTAATGAAAACTGATCACAAAAAGATAGACATACCTGAGCTACAGAAGATCTGGAGGCATGAAGAGGGATACTAGGGGTTTGGACATTCGGGGAAAGTTGTATGGTTAGATCCCACCCAATAGAAGGGTTAGATAGAAACATCTTCGGGTAAACAAAACAAGATTATAGATGGAAACCTGTTGTACTTACTTGAGATCAGGCATTTTCGCGCAAAAGCGAGTAATGAAACCCACGGACCAAGAGCCCAGGTGGAACTGTTTCATCAAGAACAAATTTAATGTAGAGGTTGACAAGAACGGTGTGACTCATCGGGATCGAGTGAATGAAGACGTGGGGAGCCTGATCTTGTAAGGTTAGTCGAAGCTCTTCCATGAGAAGAGTTTTGACTTCCGCGCGTCGAACGACATTGGGAGGTTTGATGAATGGGGTATCGCCAGGGATCTGGAGATCTTTGTTGACATGCTCTTTATACAAATAAAGTAGGCCATTACTAGTTGCTGCCTTGGGTATAACAACTGATGAATCTGAGTCCCAAATAACACTCATAAGATCTTCTCGTTTAGCCCTTTTAGAAAGTGGATTGAAGTCCTTTCGAGTCGATTGTTCAGTCTGCATTGGTAACGGAGGTGGAGGTAGTTGGTATGGCTTGATGAGAGGTAGAACATTCTTGATAAAGTCTGCTATCAACTTATCCTTCCTGTGGTTTGGACGAGACAATGTTGCCGGATTGAAGTGTGACAAAATTCGGTAGTAGTCTATATTCTTGTAAGATTCCTTCTTTTCTTCATAATCGTGATCAAGGAATGAATGTAAGATGTCCGGTAGCGTTTGGATCTTGAAGTAGGTAGCGTTGAGCGGCTCAGTAGGATTTTGAAGAGGTGGTTGGGGAGGCGGTGGACCGGTAGGTAGAGGGGGGTGGTGCAATGGTAGACTAGCAGCTTGTGGTTGATTAGGACCTGGCTTCAGGTCGCTCGGAGAAGTCCCGGTAGACATTCGACCCGTTGGAGAGTTCTTCTTCTTTGATTTGTTGGTCATCTCGATGTATAAAACTAACAAGCTAAATGTTCCGATTTGCGAAGAGAAGTGGATCAGTATGAAACTCTACTCACTTGGCCCAAACATATGAAGCAATGAATAGATGTATATTTACGTCGAAGGTTATATCATCAAAAGTGCCCAAGCGTAGTCTGGAATTGATTGAGTATTTTGACCTAAGATTTACGAAAGCAAGACTTATCAACAAAGAATATACATATGCTTGAGAAAATGAGATAGCATACTAGGAAAACCGACAAATTATTCAAAGACAACAGAACCCAGAATGAACTCGAGAGGCTAATGGAGGTAGAATGAGGGAAAGATGTACAGGATCGTAAGCATCCGATCAAGGAGATACCTGATATATCACAACACTTGCTCGAAGAGAAAGATACATACTTTCAAAGTAGGATTGCCCTTTGTTAGGTATGACTTGTGTGTTGCGGCGTCGTGGTTGTGCAGCTTGCATTTGGTAATCTGTTGCGGTTCAACTTGTCAATCAAAATTGGCGCTTACGAGAATAAAGAAGAAATACAGCTTATGAATTTGAAAGAGGTTGCAACCAAAGCAAACAAAGAAATTATGTTAATACTTTTATTGCATCTTTTTCTACCGATCACGTTGAGTGGGGATGGTGTGGGACTGATGACAAGGGCACTTTGTCAAAGACAAACCTGGACAAAGAAATGAATACATAATACAAATTCCGACAAAGCCCAGAGTTAGGACAACATCGGCATACAGATGCAGAGTGATTGAGTTCACAGTGATTTCGAAGATGATGATGAAATCTCGAAAAAGGATGTTTTGAGCTGGGTTACAGAACATTGTATATTGGGAATTCGAAGTGGGGATATTAAGAAATGTTTTTGTTTTCTTGGCCCCAGACTTAAGTAACAGGGGATATTTGTGTTCTGGGGTCCACTTAATGACATAAATCATTTATGTGTTCTGCCCGGAAAACAATATTTTTTTAGTAGTGCCAGGGGCTTCATGTCTCCAGAGTAACACTGAAACCCCATGTTTGAGAGTAGCAGAGGAAGGTCGCCGGGATACAGGAGCAGTGACCCACTGAATTTGAATTCACAAGAGGTTAGATGAATCAACATGGGTAATGGGGCAGGTAAGGGAGGATAGGTAAACCGCATTGCAAAAGAACACGTAAAAAATAAGGAAACAGAGAAAAAAATATGAAAAAGATGTTCTGCAAATTGTTTGGTACAATATTGGTTCTCTGACAGCCCGGCCACTCCAGATTTGGCCAGTGCAGGGCTTTGCATGGACCATGTGGTGATTTCAAAAATATCAGGATTCCATCCTTTTTGGAATTTACTGTACAATGAGTGGAGCTGTAGTCAAAGGGTGATTGGCATCTAAGATCTTTCTGGGATTCACCACAATCATAAAGTAACAATGCATACTGAAGAGAGGCAATTGATCAGACTTTGAAGATTGAATAGTCAGATAAATTGCTTACTGCTCATTGATTGGGATGACAACAACTTCTTCGGTAAAGAGATCATGTCCCTTTGTCCATATGCGCATTCCTTCAAATGCTCTTGGAGATTCTGTGATAATATCAGACATGGTCAGAGAGAATGTGCGTGTCAACATGGAATTTGGTAACAAGAGAATCACAGATAAATCACACTGACTTTTTCTTGCTTCCTGCTGAGCTTCTGGAAAGAGAACAAATTGAACTTATACATCAATTCCGTGACTTCAAGATCCCTTTGGCGGATCTGATCCTGCTCCCATTTATTCCAATTGACATACATTTTAGTGTTGTCATCACAATCATGACATATTGTATTATCAAAGTACTTACTTTGATCCAAACTCAATAAGAGTATTGTTCAAGAATTCCCCTTCCTCAAGATGTTGCATATTGGCATGAGGAATGGCCAATTAACTTGCACTGTTCTCGGCTTCATAAGAACATACAAAACACTACAGAATAGGGTCAGCAATCCATATGTGCTTGTCAGGAAGTAAGATGGGGTACGTACTGGTCTGAGTCAGCTATTTGCTGAGGATGGTGAGTAGCTCCTGTCACACTTATACGGGCCCGTTTGCTGTTGGCTTTAGGAGGTTTGATAAGGTGATCATCAGATATGGGTCTAGGGAAGGTCACTGTTGGTGTAGAGGTTTTGCCTTTATCTTCCCCAGCAATCTGCATACCCCACTGCAAATTGGATGGAGCTTGAGACAAAGTATGCGCATTAGACCACTTAGCACTTGAGTTTCGATTGAAAATATCCACAGCATTATTGAACAGCAAGGCTACAATATTCTTGAGGATTGCACTTGAGTTTGTCAGGATCTTAGGTTAAGTAAAATTTGACGGAGTGTGTCCCTTGGAAGTGAAGAGGAGGCTGTTGGTGGGAGTGGGATGTGATCTATAGTGTCCTTTGATTCTGGTTGACTTGTTGTAAGTTGCTGCGGAAATTTGACTATCTTCCTTGGTCACTGGATCTTTTCCTCTCAGGACCTTTGTAGTAAACAGAAAAATCTTTTACAAGAAATTTTCATAGCCTGGTTTGTCCCCACTCCAAAAATACTCAGTTTCACTTCAAAATCAGTCCTATTAGCGTAATCACACTTTTCTATAATTTATTTTATATCATTTCCTTTTCCAATATCTATCACTCGAATTTTTTACAAAGTTGTTTGTACCCGCCCACCTCCCTCTGCGGCAGCGCAGACAGGTTTAGTCTCAGGTACATTAGTTCTTCTCTTAGTTGTATGGGACAGGCGTTTTTGGCCACCCACATGACCGTTGTTATTGTCCTTCTGCCTCAAACCCCGTGCAGCTCTCACTTACGCTGCCCCCACAAAAAGTCTAGGGGGGCCTAAAAAATCTGCAACTCGGGCCTACGGCCATCATGAGTAGCAATTTGTCCCTTTGCCACCCGCACCAATTAATCGCCTTGTATGGCAAATTTGATTGAACAGTGTGCAGCTGTATCCAAAGACTCATTGGATAGATGGGTACCAAGGAAATCCTTCAAGGTAAAAGGAACCACTGACGTCTGAGGATTCCTTGGAAAAGCAAGTACTGAGGAAAGCAATATTCCAAGTGATGAAGTATATCCTCAGAGAGAGGACGTACTCTACTGGAAGGCTTACTTGGACATCTTGAACCCTACAAAAATAATCCCAGACCACCTCATAAAGAATGTAGGCTGGGTCGGGGATGTGTCAACCAAATTTGGCATAGGGATCATTATAGGGCGTACATGGTCTGAATTGCGGTGGCCCCCAGGCTGGGATACGGCTGTCGAACGGCCCAGGCAAACAATTGCCTGGGCCGAGACCGTGGCAATTTTCTTTGGGGCTTATAATGCTGCAGAAGAAGCTAACATCTATTGGCCTAGCTGGATTCCAATTCTCATGCCCCACTGATAACACGACAACGGAGGGCGCGGCTGGTAACCCAAAATCCAGGGATTTCTGGGTAAATCATGAGTGGCAAATTATTCAAGACTGGCTGGTTTGGTTTGACTGTGACTTGAATCTAGTTTGGGTGACGGCTGCTGATAATGAAGTAGACAAACTCTCTAGGGGTCTGGACCCTTCAAAAGGGTCACATAACATGTTAGAAATTGAGATACCATCTGACCTATCTCATTTATTGGTGCAACCCACCTATTCATCTTTTACATCAATAACTATGCTGCCCGCGCAAATAACGCTAAAACGAACCGGCCCTAATACCATGGGAACTCTAGACAATGTAGGAGAAGCAATTCTGCTGGACGGCTGGGCACCCTTGACAATGCGCCAATATGCCGCAGCAGTAAACAAATATTTTTCTTTCTTGAACAAAAAACCTTCCCAATTCCCTTCTACCGCAAAACTCATCTACAAGTTCATCCTCTGGTGCAACGACCTATCACACGGAGGTTTGGTTATCAGCAACACAAGGAAACATTATCTGACAGGCCTCCGCATGTGGCACGTCCTACAGGATGTTAGGTTTCTGGCCTTGGACTTAGACCGTCTATGTCTTTTGCTGACGGTTTCAACTAAATGACAACTTGTCCCACCCAAACCTCCTCGTGTTGGGTTAACGTTGATGGATGTCAATCACCTCATCAGAAACCTACCTGGCAGACTTCTCCCAAATCTGACCCTACACACCCTCCTTCTTGTTGGATTTTGGGGACTGGCAAGACTTGGTGAACTGAAATTGCACGTCACCCACCCATCAGTATTTATTTGTTGGCGTGACATAAAGTTTTTGGTGGACGACCAGAAGGCAACAATTTGCGTATGAATGGCAAAATTGGCACAGCCTGGGGAGTTACAGTTCCTATCACTACACCAAAACACAAATATACTGCGCGGTTTAGAAAACTATTTTTTTTATAGAAAACTCAGTGGAGTTTTCTAAACTGCCAGGATTGCAAAAAAAAACCACATTTGAAATACAATCCCTGTGTGTAATACAGATCCAAATTTATTCAGACCTATTCAGACTGTGTTCAAAAGAGCCCTCCTGTAATTGATCCTAAAGATCAGTTTTAACTTTTCTTGCTGTCAGTCTGGGAATAAGAGTTGTGACATTTGAAAGATGAGACACATGACTCATTTCCGAGATGAAGTCTCTGCAGGCTTATCTTCTCGTGTCCGAATCTTTTTCTCCATCATGAAATGCAGTCCAGATCAGTTAACATATGCATAACCATAGAAGAGAAAAGTACAATCCTGATACAGAATTTGTATCTTCGTAAAGTAAGTAAAATCATGATAGACATTGAAAAAACAGCCTGATACAATAAAGGGTAGAATATCAGCGGTTAAGGATAATCATGCCTATTGTAGGTACATTGACATGCTTGTTCAAATCCCCTGGCTTATACATGACCCAAGCACATTGTGCTATCACCTCGTCCAGCTTGATTAATTTATTCTCTGTAGGACTCCACATTTGCAGAGCACACTGTACTGCAACATCAGCAGTATTGAAGGGATTAGGAAGTTTGCTCGGTACAGGTGGGAAACATTGTACGCATAACCACGTATTTGTGGTATTCTGGGATGCAACTGGAGTTCGACAATGGGAAAAGATTGAAAATACTTGTCCAAAACACTCAGTACCCTTGGAATTCTTGAAATATATGCAACAGTCGTCAGGATTTTGTGTAAAGGCTGAAATGTATCCATCAGTGTGTTGAACACGCTTGTGTAATTGGCCATGAGCTGATACAGGCAAATATCCTATTGAATCACTCTTGCTAAGGGAAGCCCAATCTTCTGGACGAAGCCATATACATTCGTCCCTATGTGATTCATTCAAGTAATCCACCAGCAGTTTCAGGACATCATCGGAGAGAGGGGACAGCTTGGAATTTGATGGTCGATTGCACCGCCGTGCGGGTTGAAGGTATAATGCTTTCAGACGCAGACAGAACTGTTTAAGGCCGTCGGGAAGCTTGTCATCCTCTATCAAAGCCAAAAGATTGGAAGCACGGCAGAACTTTTTGAGGAATGTTATCTCAAGCTCAGCTGAAATCATAAAGACGGCAAGGAATTGTCAGAACACCATAGCTATCTCAACACAAGGTGATATTGAGTTCACTCACTGATACGGTTATTATGCTCAGCTTTAGGGATTTTACCCATCAAGCGCTCAAATGGGAAAGACCACCATGCGCGGACTGGCCCAAATCTTTCGAGACAATCAGCAAGATGCACAGCCATGTGATGGTTTGGGGCGAGTTTACAGTGTTGGAATAGTATGACAGAGCCTTCTAGATATTTTTGAATATGATATCGGTAGCTGTTGATGTGAGATGGACTCATGACACGCTTAATCCTGAGATTGATAATTGAAACCAAATGGTAGAAATTTTTGAGGAGTGATTTCTTGATGTGGTCCTGGCCTGACCACATTGGTATCAAAACTAAAGGAAGCTGAATGGTGATGAGACTTCTCCATTCGTCAGCTTTCAATTTTCCAAAAGAAGCCTTGCCCAAAACAGGTATAGGACGCTTGATCCAAGTGGGTGTGTGAATATGAGGAAGTATCGCATTGATGTGCCAAAGCACTGTCGAATCAAAGATGATTTCCTCTAACGGTGGCGCATGCCATTCCCCCTTCCATCCGCTGTCATCAAATGGATCGAAGTCTTGATCACTTGACAAAGTATCGGCTGAAAACTCTGCATCATTGATGGTCTCTTCGTTTTCGTCAATTTCCTTCGGAGAATCATCTGCGTGTGATCGACGTGGTAGTGGCTCAGAGTGTTCGCTAACAAGACTGAGTAGTTCAACCGTACTGATGGGTGGCAATTGTTCCTCGTCATTTTCGAGGTCCTTCATTGCCCAGAAACGCCTGACATGCCATGAAGCTAAACCAAGAAGCAGGTTGTGCATTGAGTCTACAACATGATACTGGATTATATTCCAGTATTCAAGTTCTATGAGGACAGAGTAGGGTACTCCATGTGTCTTGAATACCTTCTTTCGATCCTTGACTGTTTTTGCATCACGAGCCTCACATGCCCATTTGAGATGCTCACAACATGTGTGAGGTGGCCATGTGCTTTCGTCTAAGTTGTTGATGTTTTTCTTGGTGAGAAGGCAAAACGAGCAGAAATAGGTGGCAGTCGCGCTAGGAAATCCAAGACAACGACACAGCGATGGTATATCAGCAACAAAAACCAATAGTGCCGCTCTGATGAGACGGCCCGCCTCGTATTCGTGAGTCCGCGAAAGGAGTAAGCCCAATGACCATAGAGTTTGAAGTTCCGTGACAAGCGGCCGCAAAATCCAATTCATTTGCTTGAGCAAAGGCTCTCGAGGACCAGGGGCGATTCCCACCACAAAGACATTCTCCGGTTGATGTCTTAGGTCGGGAGGAAGACTGAGACAAACCAATACTACAAAAGTAATTGAGGTATGATGACCACTTTGCTTGTTGCCAAACGGATTAATTGCATCTACGAAAAGCGCAAACGTCATATTACTACTGCTACTGGTAAACTGGTTTCCATCAGGACCACAGAACTCTTTCCAGAGTCAAGATTGATAGATGCCGTGTATTTCAGAGTCTGGATCATACGGCTTTGAAGATTCAGCTGCTGAGATCTCGAGATATTCCTCAATCTTAGGGCGAGAGAGTAGACGCGACAGCCAGTCCGAGAGCTTCTGGAATGCATAGCGGCAAACAGGCTTCTTGATACCGCGAACATATTTCACAAGAGGTTCGCCACAGATTGTCTCTGAAGAATTCAGCTCGGCATCTTCTGCATCAGATGTACTGTTGCTTGGATCATATGAATCAGAAGGACCGCCAGGAATGTTTGCAATACAATGATGACGTCGTGATGGTGCAGAAGCTTTGGGGTACATTGCAAAACAAGAGCTGCAGCAATTCATGAATGTAAGAGCTGGGTCTAGCTCCAACCATCCAAAGGCCGTGGAGACTGAGCTCGGTATACGTTTAAGGGTTTCAACCTCGGCAGGAAGAAGTTGATGATGCGGGGACTTGGTAGGTAATATTCCATAGGTTGTTGAAAGCTCGATTGTAATACTTTGAACATCAAGAATCCATTTGGTTATCAAGTTTGAGGAGTGTCCAATGATATCGAGAATCGAAGCGGTCAAAGCGACGTGAAGAACAAGTGGATTGATAGATTTCAATTGAAAAGAGTAGAGACCGTCTGGAATTGATTCAAAAATCATAGTGGAAGAAGGTTCATCAATCACACTAATCTCTTGAAGGCGAAATGATGAAAGGAAATCATAATTATGGAACATACCACAATCAAGGACTTTCTGTCCTGAAATTCTCGCCAACTCTGCCTGTGAACATGTTTTAGTAGACGTAGATTCGGAATCCGCAGAAGGTACGTTTGGCGTAGGAAGGTCTGGTGACTCTATTTGGACAGCTTGGCTAGAATTGCCTTCCAAGTGAGGGTCCTGTGTCACCTGGTGGGACATATCTGATTCTGTTGAATTACATGGTTGACCATCTTGACTTAAAACAGGTTCGGAAATGATATTCAATCGTTGCAAATCCGAAAGAAGTTGGTCTTGAGCGGACAAGGGTGATGCCGGAATGGAAGTAGACGTAGTCCGTGGTGATTTGACGAGATTGTTTCGAAGGTCAGCACGTTTGTGAGCAGCGCGTGTTGCTGGTAAAACCTCAACACCGGAATGGCTGACTCCGTTGGCATCTGGGAATACTTGATGACGGCACTCGTAAGCTTCGCATAGGCATACGGCTCGATGAGGCTGTTTGGATCGATTTTGACGCGAGGGCATTTGCGATAAAGTACAAGTGTTGATTGACATAATAAATTTCAGAGGACAGAGAACAAAAACCCGTGCACAAAGTGTATTTCAAAAAGTAAACAGCATGACTTTGACGGAACACTTTTTTTGAAGAACGTGGGACTTGAGATATCATTTACAACAATCACGTTGAGCCACTCTGACTTTCTGATTTTGAAAAAGAAAAAGAGGAATCAAGAACTATCAAGAATCTTTTTTTGATATTGTTTTTTTTTGGCCAAGAAGATTTAGAATAAAATAGGAAGATGGGAGATAAAGAAGAGAATCAAAGAGATATCACAACAGCATGAGAAGCACTGATTAGACTAAGCGGAGCTCAAAGTACGCAGAAGAGTGGATGTAGAAGAAGCTTGAAGGTATATACATAGCATAAATTCTGAATAAAAACGATGAACTACATTCTGGCACCTTGTGGAAAATCAGCTCTGTACAATGCTCATGTAGATGATTGTGAGGTTTGGTTCATCTATGTGAGATAAGTGTCAGCGGTTATAGCACCATTATCATTAGAAAAATTCAAGATACATCCATGAAAGAACAAACATGCGGGTAACTGAAACTTCTCTGACCTTTCATCCATTGTTGCGGTGTCCAATCCTTCCAAAATAGTATAATGGAATCCAGGGATGAGCAGGATACCAGTATCTTTTACGTCATGAACAAAGCGAAGATAAAGAGCCATAAGACATTCCTTATTCATGGCCAAAGATCGTACAAATACAGAGGGTGCAAAGTAACGTAAAGCTAAGAGAAGATCCTTGATGGTCTCGTTCTTCACCCAATTCACATGTACAGTTCAAGGCCTTCTAGTGAAGCGATTGTTGACTGGAATAGCAAGGTCTTTGTCGACGTAGAACTTGTATACAATTAAGATGTCATCAATGGTTGCTGAGGATGGAATCTTGAAGTCAGGGGCCTTCTTTGCAATTGCTTTTGAAAGCATTGGTCGGGTGGTCTTGCGGTCAAGTGGTTTAAATCTAATTGATTGCCATCAGTATCCATCGCAACAGAAGGAGGCGCTAAGAGATACGGTGAGAGTAAAGGTCTGACTTCACGCAGGAAGGCATCTTTGAGTTCGGTCTTACTGTGAGAAGGGCGACTTTTGGTACCGGGATTGAAAAGATAGATAATATTATAATATTCTAGTTTCTTAGGGGTTTTGCTGACTGATTCAAAGTCGCGTGTAAGGAATATGCGATCGTTTTCCGAAAAGGACTGGACCTTGGACCATATGATCGATTCTACAGATGGATGTCGTCCTGATGATGCAGCGGCTGGGTTGTTTGCGACAGGCGGAGGTCCTGAACAAAGGTTGGAACCAGCAGGGTGGACACCGGTAGGACTGAGAGGGGAACCATGGGAGGAAGCGGTACACTTCTTGACTTCTCTTGGGGGCATGATCAATGGATATCTATTGACCACCAAAAATCATCAAACATGAGCGTAAGTATTTATGGACAAGGCAATCAAAGAAAAGATTGGGTACACAAACCAAATCAAAAATACGCACTTTGTAATGAAGAAACTCAAACTTATGACCAGGAAGCTAGATTGTATATAGTGCTAAACAATAAGTCTTCCTAAGGTCTGAGGCTTCTAGACGAAGATATCAAGCGAGGAAATTGTGATGCTTTAGTATAAAGCGAGGATATGATAAATGGATCTTGATCACATATGATCTTACGTTTCGGGGTAGTAAGTTGAGAAGCGGAAACACAAGTCAGTGTATTTGAAAGACTATATATGTATATAGAATTGTGAAGTTCAATGATGATTTGAAAGAGATGAATCGAAAAGACTGTAGTTAATTATAATGAAGAAGCAGCAGATGAACACCGAGTGCACCAGACCCACCAATATAAGTACATGCATTTCCCTTGTTTGTCTGGGCTGCTGTGCGAAGAAGGGATCTTGAACTGATGAATTGTTCATCATGTTGTTTATCTGATGTCAACATTTCCCCTCCAGCGTATCCTTTGAGGGAAAGTCAGATATGATTTACAACAGTCTCCTAGTCAGTTGCACGCAATCAAAGAAAAATATTTGGTTGCTGTATACCACAAGGACCCATTTGGAATTTTGGTGTTCTCCTTTACTGTCATTGGTCCCTCCTGTGGTTACGTAGGAGGGACATGCATTGATCCTGAACTTCCTGAATTGATCAGGTGAATCATGAACTAAAGGGTAATGATTCGGAAGAATCACGATTCCAGTAACCAAATGGTCATCAGTAAATTACAAAAATTTCTATCTGTTGCTCTTCAAGTACAACGTTTGTAAGTTGGTCAGACAACTCATCATGCAATTGATGTGGACCATCCAGATGGTAATCTATCATCTCACCGCGTCATCCATGAGGAGAGCTCAGTACATGAATGCTTCTTGAAGCTGGGCGCTCAACCAATTTTTGTTTACAATCACGCAAGACTGATATAAGAGGACTCTTGTATCTAGTCATATTGCTACATGCCCATCCCAACCCACCATTTTTTTCTTCTTTTCTCTCTTATAGTGTTATAACTTTTGTGATCAAGTACATACCAAACTTCTCTCTTCTTTCGTCGATATTCACATTCAGAAATGTCAGAATCGAGTGCTCAAGGTATCCCACAACCCGCGCTTGACCCCGACAGTCCCGGTTCTAATAAGCAAACCATGCTTGACTGGCTGCGTATCAATCACCCTCATACAGTCATCCCTTCGAAAGCTAAAAAAGCTGAAGTGGCAAACATCTTGCGAGGGACACAAGCTAAAGGTGCGTCTTTTCTCCAGTCCTACAATCTCTTACTTGTTGAAATTCACTTGCAAGTGATGATTGATTTTGATTTCTGACTACTAAATGAAAGATCAAAATTCAGGCTCTCAATCCAATCAATCCACCCCCGTGATGTCACAAGTGGCTCGCTATCCTACTCATCAAATTCTGCACAAATCTTTACCCCTTGCAACCAACACTTCTAAACTAAGTGATCAATTGGGAAAGCGTTTGGCATCCCAAGAACTGACTCCGTCTCATCCAAAGAAGCGTGTCCTATCTGGTAAGTACTCCATATTTCCTCCGTCGCATACATTATACATATTGATTTTTTTTAAATTTCCCTGTAGAGACAAAACCGAAGATTGCTGGTCAAACTTTTGAGCCACCAAAGCTTTCCAAGGAAACCAAGGTGAGCCATTATCCTACAAGATCTTAGACAAGCGTGCTAATTGAGCGTTCCTGCCAGTCTTTAAGGCAACCCAGGCTATCCAGCATCATATCTAGTCAACCCGCACAATCTAGCAGCTCTAATCGGCCTCTTCCTTCCCCACAAGTTTCCCCTGTCTCAAATATCAGCAATGAAGATGAAAAGAAGGAACTGGAGGCTCTCAAGAAGTCAATCTTTGTGCCATTGATTGATCAAGATCTTGTCTTACAACACACCAAATCCCCAAACGCTTCATTCAGGCCAGAAGCGAAACGGCTACACACCCACATTATTTGAGGCAGTTCTGGGAAACCGAATTCAAAATCAGTGCAAAAACAAAGCACTTCCAAACCGAAAAATACCCAAAATACGCCCAAAGATGTAGATCTTACACAATTTTCTGATACTGAACTGTTTGAAGTTGGGAATCTGGGTATGCTCACTGAACTTTCCTTGAGTGCTTGATATAAAGCTGACTTCTTTGTGAAAAAACAGTGATTGGGAGAGATATCCCCGCCATTGATCCAAACAAGAACTTACCCCTTAACGAACAAAAGAGAACCAGTGCTGATATCTTCATATAAGAACAGAAACAAATAGAACTTGGTAGGCTAAATATTGCTTTCTATCTTTGTCTGTGCTGTTAGTCCTGATTATCACGTTTCAATCAGTGCGAACATTGGATGAACAACTTTCTCGTGTTGAAAGTTCACTCAAAATTGTCAAGGAGAAAGTCGGCACAAATGCCCTTCAAGAGTTACAACAAGACCAAACAAAGAGTGTGTGTTTTTCATTGTAATCGACCAACCAAATCCCCCAGTTGACGCTCAAATTTAAATATATTTGCAGGTCTAATTGAAAAACACTCAAGCAATCTGGAGACCACAAAGAAAGATATCCACGCACTGCGAACGATGGTTGAAAGTTTGGATTCCAAAACCAAAAACTTACAACGAGACCTGGACAAAGCTCACTCAACAATCCAAGGTTTTGAGCAGATCCTACGTAGACTCTTAGGTGGTACTGATGATAGTGATCTTGATGAGGAATATGAGGAGAATGAGAATGAGATTGAAGAAAACGAGTCTTCTTCCAGCAACAATAGTGATGCCTAGGAACACAAACATTTTTATTAGGCACAAGTTACTTTAGACATTTATACAATATATAGTTTGCCTTGACTCTCTTGTGTGTGTTTTCTTTTGTGTGCACCCTTTTTGAAACTTTCTACGCTCAATGAAAGATCCATCTTACCCCATCATGAAAAGTATACAGTGTACACTTCAAATTGGGGAGGCTAGCAGTCATATATGTTTGAGGCCCAACCCCAGAGTGCTTTCAAACATGTTATTTACGGGCGGATCACAAACAACCCCCTCAATGTCGGTATGTTCTCAGCATTTGTACTTATTGCATTTGGTGTTGCTCAAAGAATGAGCGGTGAGTGGGGCATATCACCGCTTCTCCTTTAATTATCATGCTTTACCTAAATGCAAGTCTATACTATATACATTTGTAAAAAAATCTATCTCCAGTCGGAGATGAGTACACCTGCAGAAGCATTTCAATTCAAGATTTTTGAACAAAGGCTTTTTGTTCCACGGTTGATCTGTCTTCTCCTAAGATCAATTAGAGCTTTAATGTTGTGTCAACCTTCTCTCATGACTTTGAAATCCACCCATTCGAACCCATCTCATACTTTTACCCTTCCTCAGATATTAGATTCTTACCATCTTGAAAAATCATGTCTTCCAACGAGTTCAGATCCTACGTTTTCCTACCTGAATATATCCTTGAATACGTTGTTGGTGAAAATAACCCTAGAATCGATCCCGACCTCTTCATAACTAAAGCTACTCCCTCACAGATTGTGGAGGTGATCTTAGCATTTCATCCTCATCTCCAATTTACTGAAAACGCTTGCAACAATCATGAGCTCCTCTTGAAAGTTTTCATCGAAATGATTGCTCCATGTTTATCTAGATTAGTCACCTCTTTCAACCACAATCAAAACTATGTTCAAGCCTTATGTCGAGCTCCCATCTACATCCCTGCGGAATCTACCAGAGTGATCAACTCTAGTGTGGATCTTGACACCAAACGAATTGGGGACTTCAACCTATGGGGTCTCACGAACTTCAAGAACGGGAAATATCGACTTGCATCCAAACAATTGAATGCGTACTTCCTCAATACTTATAAGTATCTGAACAAAGAAGAGCTTGATGAACTCAAGTCTAGCGAAACCAATGCCATCAAGGCTCTCCATGAGACTTTACACCACCTTCAAGATTCCCACGTGTCTATCAAAAGTATTCAGCTTCGGTTATGTCAGCCCAAACTCTCACGAACCAAACGTGAGGACCTTGAGGAGCAGTTGAAATGTGCCAAGGCCTCATCGAGATCTCGTCAGGATATGTTCAATATGGGTGTACAAGATATTGGATTTGTTACCGCGTTTCTCAAGCATCATAGGTCAGTTTTTCATTCAAAGAATCGTAAGATCATTTACAGTTCACTCATCATTGGTTATATAACACTTAACTTTTTAGGGACATCCTCGACAAACATCAACTATCTCATTCAGCTAATTAGCCATATCCAATGTCATAATATCAAAACTACATTTTGATCAATAGTACTTTTGGCAAGGGGAATTCTTGCGGAAAAGTTATTTTTTGGTAGTGTTTCATCTGTGTTCTTAGTTCCAAACTTGTCGTGATATATTGTAATTGATAGAATGGTAACTTACAATGGGATCTATGAAGCAATAGGAATTTAGTTTGACAATGCGAGTATAAAAGGATGTATCCAATGATTTGTCATGACTTGTATACTGATTGATCAATTGAGAGTTGATCTTGCTTTGATTTGACTCATCAATTATAACTGGTAGCAATGTGCTTGGTGATATACAGACCTATCGGAAGCTCATGATAGGCAGCCGCCAAATCATCACAAAAGCAAACCTTTCCAGTGTTTCCTAGGTCCCCATAACCATGTACATTTTCACCCAAGTATTGAAAGGGTTTTCAAGAGTAGAATTGCATTGCCAACAATGATCAATATCAACTAATTCAGTGATGAGTTGATGATGTTCGCCAGCTTGCCATTCACAGGTTATTTTATGATCTGAAACACAGAATCATATATACATCATAAATATGATGGTTTATAATTTTTCTTAATCCCTCCTTCTTATATATCATTAATTGTGTGCACCTTTTTTTGTCTGGTCATGCCCCCGAAACGTACACGTCGACCGAAAAATCCTCATATAGCCCCAGTTCTTAGTAGCCATGAACTCCCGGATCGGCGCCGTGAACTTCATGACAGTCATCAGATTGGAACCAATAGTACAACAAAACTTAGGTGTAGAAAAAGAGAATCAGATTCGGAACCTGGTATGTTTCATGTATTAAAGTCCGATCCCCTTTTGCATTTTGGGTGACTTTTCATCTCATTACGATCTGTGTAGATGACAGAAGGGATGCTCTGGAGAAAATTGGAGTATCCCTCGGTACAAAAAGTACTTGCAAACATTTACTTAACCTCCTCGACAAGCGGATTCGAAGAAAAACACCACGTCTTTCAACCCAGTCCCAGCCAGTTCCATCTAAGCAGGATCTACAAACTCCAACCACTGCAGTGTTAAACCCGGGGAATCAGTTAGATACAACTTCAATCCTCTTGCCCTTGGATCAGGATATCGAAGACAATCAATTCGACAACACTCAGCTTACACTGCCTAGTCGCCTAACATCAACCTCTTCACCTTCAAACGAGATTCAACATCACGAAAAGTCTAAATCCAAGTCAGCTTCGAGTCCAATCCGGAAACCAGAAGATGAGCTTACCAAGGATCAAGACAATAGGACAGGCAATGTTGACTACAATCAATTCGACAACACTCAGCTCGTCAATATGTTGAAAATGGTCGGACTAGACACCAGCGGACTCGCCAGGAGTGAACTTTTGGACAATTGCCGTACATACAATGGTCTAAGTAAGGTCCACTGAGTCCGACTATAGTAGCCTAGCCGGGATCCAAACTGATGAACAAATGCTTTATACCAATTCAGTAATCCTTCCTTGAGACCTTATGAAAGACTCTCCTCACAGTACGAAAGACTCAAGATTGGAGAATTCGCAGGAAAGGCACAAATCTCGACGTATCCAAGATCGTCAGTTTCAAAACTTATCCACTTCGAGATTCCAAAACTCACAATCAACTTTCCCTGCCCTTCTTTTCACGGACATCAAATGACCATTGAAGAAGTTCCTATAACCCCAACCACAAGCACTAGTATACCCGGAGCCGGCTCTTCGGCCTCAGTGCTTCCTAGCCTAGAGCATAAGCGATTCCTATACCCTTGACCGCGTCCTACTTTCCTCACATCAAATTCTTCAGCTTCAATGGCCACTTGACATAAAGGAAAATCAAAAGCAAAGTCAACCACGAATTCGGGTTCTGATTGGGAACCAGGAGATGAACCTACCAATGAATCTGACGACGAGATGTGTGATGACAGGGATGAACATACCGACCCTTTTGCTTCTACAGAAACCAGCAAACCAAGTACTTCACCTTCTAGACTGTGCCCTCCCGAGACCCCGCGTGACAGGTGAATGTCCCAAACAGAATCTCTCCAAACCCTGCACCTCAAGCTGACCAGATAATTCTCAATCTCATCTTTCTCAGCAAAACCATAGACATCAGCACACTTCACATCCTTCTCATGGGAAGCAACAAGAAGGTAGAATCTCTAGAAAGCAAAGTGAAAGCTTTGACTCAAGTAGTACATAAAATGGCTCGAGAGCCGATTGATAATCCTTCTCCTCAATCAAAAAGACGCGGCGGCCGTATTGGAGTGAGTCATTCAATAAAAATATACCCATACATACAATCAATATCTAATGGTATCAGAATCCACTTGTGTAGGATCGTATTAGGTTTCATGTTGATACTCTCATTGGGGTCAAGGACGGTTCCGATCTTCCACCACCAGACAATCCAGGTGAGGAGGGTATGTCTGATACAGAACTTACACCCACCAATGATCAAAACGAACCTCTTGATCCTTGCTTCCCATACAAAAATGGACCTGGACACAAGGACGCAACTCCTCAAAAACTCAAAATCATGAAAAATATGTTAGCATCCGCGGGTCTTTCCAAATTCCGTCCAGATTTTTCAAAGTCAGCATCAGCGCCAGAATAAAAATGGGCTTGGAGTGTTTGCTTGAAGATATTTCACAAGCTAGTGGAGTGCGGCGAGTACAACAGAGTGACTGTGGGCGGAAAGGATGACACCTTCACAAAAAAGTGTCTTGACACACACAGTCAATCACTATCTAAGCGGTAAGTCAATAATATCAATATTTTGTGATGTTCTAAACTGAAAAGCGTTTTGTATATGCTACTTTACCATGAATTGTTCATTTGAATAGGTACCGCTTGCAATCATGGGATCCAGAACGATTGGAGAAATCGCGAAGCAGAGTCCGACAAGTTGCCAGACTTCAGCATGTGAGTCTTCTTACTTAATTCTTGATTTGAATAACTGAGCGTGAAATCTTTCTATTTGCTTGAAATCCAGTTAAAGAAAAGGAGAGATAAAGCAATATTTTCAAAACCCACACAGCTTTTGAAGCTTTCAGCAATACTTGAAAACACCTGCAGTGGTGATGAAACTGACAATGAAGCTGGTACTGAGGGTCACTCTGATGGGCTTATGCCATGTTGTGTCCGCACTCTGGAATGGCGTAGCGAAAGGTTGAGACAGGTTTGTATACTCTTGGACGGATATGTTGAGAGAAGCAATGCGAGTATCCCAAAGTTGGTCAGGAAAAAAACTGGTCGCCCGCCTCGACCTTGACTTCGCCAAGAAAACGCACCTCTCAGTAAGATACCGGCAGCTCCTGGACTCCCTGTTGACTGCTACTCTTCTGTATGGATCAAAAAGATTCAACAAGAAGAGCCACTGGTGTATAATCAACTTGAGGTTGACCCGGTACCAGCTAACCTAGAGCAAATGATTTTGGTATTGGAGGGGATTTAACTCATCAGGGAAAGAATGGATGTGATTGCTACTTTTTCACCTGGAAGGTTGTTTTTATCTTTCATATACTTCCTCCCCATTGTATTTTACTTCATTTGTGTGCTGGGCACTCATCATTTGAAATTGAAGCACCTTTGTATTTTCCAAATCAGCCCACAATCTCTTTAATACATTAACACAAAGATTGAGAAATAGCATCAAAAATAAATGCATATTACAGCTGTTCTATGTACAAAGTACGCTAATGTCATTGTGTATAGTGGGGCTTTTCCTGCCTCTGTAGTGTTTTCTTAACATGATTGCAGCCATGTGGAGGACTTAAAGCATGTAAACTGATACAGTGACCTACCATTTGAGTGGTACCCACAGTGTCCTGATCTGTATTGTACACCGGGATTGTATTTCAGATGTGGTTTTTTTGCAATCCTGGCAGTTTAGAAAACTCCACTGGGTTTTCTATAAAAAAATAGTTTTCTAAACCGCGCGGTATATTTGTGTTTTGGTGTAGTGTATTACTTGACCGTCATCCAAATCAACTTGATCCAATCAAAGCCCTCCATGACTTGCTAGACTCCACGGACGGGCATCCGGATGACCCTCTGTTTTGCGGCATCACTTTGCACACACCAATTTGCTGTGCTACAGTCATGGCCCTTCTGAAGAAGTACCAGACCTCCTCTAGCACCTCCGGCATAATATCCTCGGATACAAGTATCCAAGTTAACAGCGGGTATGTGTGTCCGAGGAATCATCGGATAATTGTGTATCAAGGTAAATGTCCAATGTAACATTGGACAGATATGTGCGAGGATATCTTGGGCATTTTGGTACTGAGGAAATCATTGCTCCGAGTCAAACTTGGCTGCACACAATTGATGATATATACCATCGGACAAATGTTGTCTGAGTTAATATCGTGGATTAACATCAGAAAGTCCTTTCCGAGTTTAATACGGCAAGACTTACCCCAGTTACAATATAGGCGGACCGTATAGCCTGATGAATTTATATCATCGGTGGGTCTTGTCCGAGTTTAATAAACCTCGGTCAGATTAGTTCGAGGAGATATCAAGTGGGAAGAATCCAAGGGTAAGGAAAACCTCGGACCTGGCTGACCAAGGTTTCCTCGTAAATTGTGTAATTGAAAATTGAAGCCAAAAATTCAAAGCTTAAGCTTAAAACTCGTAAATTCATACTTGAAAATCAAGGCCCAAAAATTAAATCTTAAAAATAAAAAGCCCGATACTAAAGGTCAGAAACAGAAATACAAGACCTAAAAGTCAGAAATTACACATTACAAACCAAAACATAAAAATTAAAAACTAAAGCTTTAAGGTTGGGAATTAAAGATTAAAAAATAAAAACTTACATATGTGTATGTCTTAGACTTGAACTTCTTCGACCTCGACCTGCACTTCGACCTGCACCTACACCTTGACTTCGACCTCCAATCCAAACTATCCAACTTTGACCTGCACTTCCACATCCACCTTGACTTCGACTTCAACCTGCACTTCGACTTCGACCTTCAATCCGACTTTGACCTGCACCTCGAATTCAACCTCCACCTTGACTTAGACCTTCACAAGTCAAAAATTAGAAACATCACAAAACAAAACACAACAATCAAAACTAAAACTTTGAGCTTAGGAATGAAAGATTAAAAATTGAAAACTTATGTACACAGATATCTGACTTGGATCTTGACTTCAACCTGCACTTCAACCTACTTCATATTTGACCTCAACCTCAACTTCCTTCAATCCGACTCCGACCTGCACCTCAAATTCGACCTCGACTTTGACCATGTTTGACGTACACCTTGAATTTGACTTTGACCATGACCTGCATTTTGACCTACACCTCGCCTTTGACCACAACCTGCAGTTTGACCTACACCTCCACTTTGACTTCGATCTCCGATCTGACTTCAACCTTCACTTTGTCCTTCACTCCGCTTTTGAACCCCACTTAAAAATTGAGAAATTGAAAATATCAAAATCAAAAATCAAAATTACAAAATTGAAAATTGAAAGTTGATTGAATTTTAAATTTAGGACGACACTATTTGGCAACCGCTTTTTTAAACCCGACGCCCGGTCGGGTTTTGGTACTTATCCGTGCTTCCCTCGCACAACCCGGACCTGACTCAGCCAAATTTGACCGCAGCCGCAGCAATTCCGGGCATCAAACAACTTTGCAGTATAAATTTTGGAAATACAGTCAAACCTGTGCAAATGCATAATTTGGGTGGACGAGTTTTTCTATGCAATTTGACCATTCATTCATTTGCACAGGTTTTCTGTTAATGCATAACTTTATCCATTATGGTCATAGTGCATAAAAATATGCATTATGACCACGCTCAACAAAACCAAAAAAGTTATCTGTATGTATTGGGTCTTTCAAAGGAGGCAACGAGTGTGGCGTGTATTGTAGATGTGTACAATGATCCTTAAAAATCGAGTTCAGGAAGTTCTATGAGATGTACAAATGTACAGCTTGCTCATTTGACAAATTTTTGTCTTCCAGATTGCAGGAAGCCCCAGGGCTTTATGCATTATGACCACCAACATATGGATATTTCTGCCAAAAGGCTATTCAGTATTATATTATGCATTAATCTGAATTTTGGCCCGCACCAGCTTGGTGGAACCCAAGCCTTATGCAAAATGGCCAATTATGCATCTGCACAGGTATGCATTTGCACAGGTTTGACTGTAGATTGCTTCATCATGGGAAAGCGGGCTATCACACCACCTCCAATCACATATTCAACCGGGCTACATCTTCAACCTGCTCATTGCTCGTGCTTCAACCCTCTCTTAACGCTTCTGTCAATGTCCTGTTGATGAACTAACTGACAATAAAAGGTCCCATTCGAAAGGTGACCATCCGATTCCAATGAGTTGCCTAAAGATGGTAAGTCTCCATTCTCTCGATTCGCTCTAGTTTCTCGTACTTCTCTTTCTTTCTGCCTTGTTCTATCTTTCTTCCTCTCACAACACAAGTGCTGACAAGTTTGCTTTACCTATGTTACATCTACAGCAGCCAAGTGTCTTTATTTGCCTCACCTCCAATAATCCAACCCTCTTTGTTTATTTTATCTTTTGTCTCTATCTACTTGTTTTGCCTGTTTTGTTTTTTGTTTTTGAAATCAAATCAAGAAAACGATCGATCTGAGTATTTGATAAAGTGATCTCATCTTGAGAGTCAGTCGAGGAGCAAGGGAGTCACTAATTAATAATTGTCTACATTTGACTTTTGTGAGCAAGAAAATGAGCCGACTCAATTCCAATTTGAACCGGGCTATGAATTCATTTGATAGGGCGATGAATAACAACTATCCAAACTCAGGGCGTCGGGTCAAAAAATGCGGTTGCCAAATAGTGTTGTCCTAAATTTAAACCTGGAATTATAATCTGTATTTTTCCAATTCACTTTTTTTTCAATTCCCAATCTTTTAATTTTGTTCGACCACATTTGATCTGATCAAGATTTGCCCATTCAAACCCAACAGAAAAGAAGATAACTACAAATCAAACTTCATACTCAGCTTCACCTTCTACTTCTTCACAATTACCTTCAAGTTCAAGTTCAATTTCAGGTTGAGTGCTTTTTGACTTTTTCAAAAAGAATCATTCATCAAACATCAAACTAATGTTAACTGCTCTCTATGTTGTAAATTTGAAATCAGATCTATGGATTGAAGAACCTTGGGCTTGAACTTGGGCTGGCACTTTGACTGGATTCGGACTTGGACTTTGACCTGGACTTCCACTTCAAATTCGACTTTGACCTGGACTTCCACTTTGACTTCAAATTGGACTTCCACTCTGACTGATATCATAATCAAGAAGCCTATAGTTTTCAAATTGATGGGTTCTGGCTTTACGAAATGGTCAAGACGGCGAAAACAAAGGTTTAGGTATTATCATTGGGCATGTAGTCTCTCAGGATGCAAAAGGTAGTGTACGTAAAGCTTTGACTCAGTTCTTATTCTTTTCATCAAGTGAGAATTTCAACTTATGGTTTCAAATCTAGAACACAACCAACCTATCAGTGATACAATCATCGCAGGTGAGCACTAACCTGAATGCGCCAGTTTCCCTATCCGAAATACTGTCTCATTTTGTTTTTTGAAAACAGACCCATCATCATCGTCTCAAAGATGTCACTCGCTAAAATTGTCCCCATATCATGCTTGACGCTGGGCACATTGCGGTTTTGACCAATTGCTCTAGCTGGTCAATCCTACATATATCATTGTAAAGTTGGGAGGATGTGTCAATGGGTGAATGTAAACCACCTTCTATCTTGTTAGCTGGTGAGCTCTCCTTTTATTCCTCCTAGCGCTCAATCTCCTACTGATTGCCATTGATTGATACCCAAATCACAGTTGGACCCTTGGGACAAGTCTTTTTGCACAAGTCCAAAGGTAATGTCATTGATCTTCGAGGGGTTGAACTCATCAACGTGTGTTTCTTGCTTGCTTTCCCTTACACACCAAACCCTCTTAATTCAAATTCTATCATTTCCAGGACTCAGCATTCAAACTGTCACTCAGTTCGTGTTCGTACAGAACACACCGAGTTCGTCAACTTACTCGTTTGATCTTATCGTCAATGCACCAATGGGAAGCTACCATCTATTATCGGTCTTCCTAATGATGAAAAGTCTGTCCCAATTCAATTCATTCATAGGTCAAAGCATTATATGTACTGATGCTGACCTCACCGTTCTTTATCTAGCTATTCCCACCTACGCTACCCATTCATCTGCCTTTCCATCCAGTCCTTCTCATGCTCCAGTCATCCGCGGCGGAGGTCATCCATTGCCATCATCTACCTCATCAGTGACTCGATCTCAGCCTAGGTCTCGCAAGCCCGTCCTGTCAGGTCAAATCTCAGAGACAAATTCAATTGCTAGCTCGATCAAGCCTTTTGGTATGCCCACCTTCTTGTATCTTCATACTCATCTGAATTATCCTTCAAATTTGGTTTGACTGTCCATGTTTCATGACTCAACTAAAACTCATGTCGATGTTTTCCAAAGATGGAACGACATCAGGCTTGACTCATCATGCCCCCAAAATCGTCGCCCATCTCGAACCGTCTGTGATTGTACCGCCTATAGTTGAACTCTTGGTTGCTGCACTCGAGGGACTTTTGGAAGGAAGTTTTGGTACATCTGGATCTTAAGTGAAACCTTTTCACGCATTTACGTCTGGTTTGGAAATCTTTAGACCCATCGTACGACCGAAGATAGATGTTTGATCGGAAAACTACTGGAGAACTGGTGGCTCAATCACTTATTTCATTAGGACTTCTTGATATTGGACTGAACCATCAACATGATATTTGTTTACGTTCAGATAATGTAAGGGTTTTTTTGTATAAATTGCTTTTTGATATAAATTCAAAGTTTTTCTCTGGAAAACTCTTTGTGAATTTATAGGTCTCAGGTTTAGCTTATAAACTAACAAGAGATCAGTTGTATCATCACGGTACAATTCTAATCAACTCAAACCAATTGCAACTCAAAGATTTCTTAAACCCAACTCAAATAAGTCTCCTTCTTTAATATTTTCTATAAACTTGTTGTCTAATCGGAAATCCTGTAGTCCCAAGTTGTTTCTAGAGCCACTGATTCAGTTTGATCACCTGTGACCAACCTTAGTAGCAGGTTTGGTAATCTGAATCATTTTACTTTTACAAAGTCACCTACTCAGATGTTTTTGGAAACATTATCCTACTCTTGATCCCAATCTTTCGCCCATAGTATGTGTTCTGTACGGAATGCAACATGTGCCAAAGTGACAACATGATTTTCAAAAATCAAAATTTCAGAATCCTCGGGTCAGAAACTGGGAAAACCAGATTAAACATCAGATTTAACTCAAATACTGGTCAGAATGTACCTGTATTGGGGTGAAATAAGAGCGCGTTCACTTAGCCCGGTTTCCTAGAAATCACTTTTTAAGGCACCACTTTTCTACACGTAGAAAAGTGATTTTTGTGAAAAAATATGAAATTTCGTTTCCATGACAGAAAGAGAGAAAGAGGCCGGTAAACAGTGTTCGTTTTGAGGGTCATTAAGCACATCAAAGATGGTTGGTGGTACAAACAACCACCAACCATCATGTCTGATTCCTCCACTTCCACGAGGTCCTCAACTTCCTCTTGAAACCCTTTTGATCATCTCCAATTTGTCCTTCAAGCTGGAAAGGACTTCCTCGCCTTGTTAAAGACCGAGAAGATACCCTGTCGAACTTCAAAACTCTGCGGAAATCAATGTACAAAAGAAGTTCTTGAGGGGAGTGATGTACGGTTTCGAGAGATTTGTCGGATGAATAAGCTGGCTTTCAAGGGCTTGATGAAAGCCCTTGAAGGCAAGATTATCATCCACTGCAAGCGAAGTGTGACGGTCGAAGAGCGTGTCATGATCTTTCTCTACATCATTGGCAACTCCGGAACTAATCAAACACTTGGAGAGAGATTCCAACGCTCCGGAGCTACCATCAGCAAATATTTTCAAGAGGTTCTTGATGCCATAGTATCTTTACGTTCCATCTATATCGTTCAACCCACTGCCAAAGAAATATGCCCAAAACAGATTCAAAACAACCCTCGCATGGTTCCTTACTTTGAGAAATGTGTGGGTGCCATCGATGGCACCCACATCCCATGTGTTGTACCTCCTGATCGTCAACCGGCGCATCGGAATCGAAAAGGAGATCTCAGCCAAAACGTATTGGCTGGATGCTCCTTTAACATGCTATTCACGTTTGTCTACGCGGGTTTGGAAGGCTCTTACGCCGATGCTCGAGTGCTACATCAAGCACTCGAGGAAGATAGATTCATTGTACCAGAAGGTACGTTTGCTTTCTTACAATTACATTTCTTTGATGAATTTTCTAATATGTTTCCTTACCTCCAGATCCCTTCTATGTAGCTGATGCTGGGTATGCAAATGTTCCGGGATTTCTTACCCCCTTTTGATTGGTACGATACCATCTCAAGGAGCGGAAGAACTCCGGATTGACGCCACGGACTGCAAAAGAACTCTATAACCATCGACATTCTTCGCTCCGAATTGTCATAGAGCGTATCTTTGGTGTTTCCAAAATGAGATTCCCTATCCTCGCAACAATGCCATCATATTCATACAAGACTCAAGTCAAAGTGGTTGTTGCTTGTTGTGTATTACACAACTTAATTAAAATCGAGTCAGGAGAAGATGAGTTTTTCGAAGAATATGCTATCAAGGAACGATTAGAATCAAGACTGGCACGCGATGATGAGCCAGATTGGACTGAACCTACCATCCGACAACGTAATGAAGCCAATGAACAGCGTGACAGGCTTGCTCACCAGATGTTTGAAGACTATATGACTGCACCTGCAGCTCGTCGACACGTTTAAAAGCTTTTATTGGAATGTAGCCTATTCCTATTGTTTCCATTTCATATCAATGTGTATCTCTTTGTGAATCTAACAATGTCACCGCCAAGAAATTTGCGTCGGAACGTCCATTCTGATGTCATATCGGGAACGGTGTTCCAAATCAGATTCGGGGCCGAGATGTGCGATACGGTTGATTTGCAATGTCAAACCGGATCTGAAAGACCCGACTGATTCCTCAGTCCGATCCAGACATGGTTTGGCACATCCGATGAGACTCAGTTCCAATGTCGAAGTGGATGTATATCAACCGACTGAGCCTCAGTCCCTTGAGGCGCGATGGCTACTCGCAAAGTGCTCATCCGACTCAACCATAGCTGCGATGAAACCCTCCCATCGCATACGTTTTGACCAACTAAAGATCGGCCATTTGGTCCCGATTCAATCCTCCCTGCGATTTCACTTCGGTGTTTCTGGTACGATCCAATCCCCTGTATACCTGATATAATCCCAGGTCCGAGCCAACGTTGGACCTGTGTACCCGATTTGATTCCAGCTTCCGAACCAACTTCGGTGTCGTCTTTGTGATCCAACCTCAGAGTACAATGGAAATCCCGTCGCCCAAACTCCTCATAAGTTTTTTTTTTGATTTACTTTGACGGAGATCGTGTAAATTCAAGTAACCATGTATACATTTACTCGCTTGCTGTTAGTTGTCAACTTCCACTTTTAATTCGGTGCTATTCTCGAACACTAGAATCTCTCATGAGTATTTGTGTTATTGATTGATTATGGTATTGTGGATGGTGTTTAACCACTTATGAAATTAGATTTAAAAAAATCAAAAAATAAGTTCGAGTTTACAAAGACTGAGAGCCTTCAGAGCTAGAAAACAATGATGAATAGAGGAAAGGGATTCTTTGTGAAATACGTACTGATCAGTACTTATTTCAAGACGCCTATCAAAAGGATTTGTGTTCTCCATATACTGCCTTCTAAATTCGCAACCTCAGGAAATACTAGAAGTTCGAACTTGAAGTTCGAACTTTGAACTTTGAACTTTGAACTTTGAACTTCAGGCTAGGACGTCAACTTGGAAATCACGTCACTTTAAGCTTGAATTTCAAACTTCGAAGTTTGAATTAAGTTATACTCCACAAAATTTTGACAAGGTGATCAGCAAACTTATCATTCTCCATTCTCTCAGTCATTCTGAAGCTTGCTAATCTTAGAGAGCCTGAGATATTATCATATAGGGACGTGAGTGAGACAAAAAAGTACTTCATGGTACAAGAAAACAAATTATAAGAAGCACAAAAAAAACCTTGACACTATATGCAGAAAGACTGATAAATGAAGGGAAAACCAAGTGGTAAGAATTGATGTTGAAAAACATCTCATACATGAACCTTATCATGGATAATCTTCAATTTTTTTTCAACTTCCTGATGATAAGACTTCACTACCCTTTTCACAAAATTCTTGTACTCTTCTTCAGTTTTTCCTGCTTTTGATTGTACTACCTTGCCAATACGCCTAGCAAGTTCCGCATTTATCTGACAGGACGAGCCAAACAACGTGATTGTGGAGTTATGCGGCCTGATTTTTTTGCCAAATTTATTTGTTGTCGTGGATTCAGATGTGTAATGAGTCTCATCTGACGCCCATAGCATAAGAATGTTTCCCTCGCAAGCACGAAGATCCGTTTCGACATGATAATACAACAATACGAATTTGGTACCGGTAATCTTCCCTAAGCTTGATTTCTCTTTATGTTGAGGTTTTCCAGTTGCACGCCAAATTAAATTCCAGAGGCCACAGGCATAAGGGCTTACGTCATTATCTTCATGCGGCTTGTTCCAGAAACCATCTCTGGTGACTGAGATACTAGAAAAGAGAGCACCTGATTTTTCTTCCGACCATTCTTCATCTGCAAAAGACGGAATACAACACTGAGCTGAGATGAACTTGTTCGCTTTGAATGCGCCCATTGAGAGGCTCGACATCCATTCAGCATAATTATTATGACATTTAGCCATAGCTTTCATTTCATTTCTATCTTTGAAAATACTGGCTTCGTTGGCCCCATCCTTTGGATTGAAAGCGAAAACACCTAGCAAAGAAAACATTTGAATAAGCCACAAGAAAACCAAACAAGGTCATACGTAAGAAAATCACCAAATGTTTTTCCCGGATCACTACCTGGCCTAGACCCGGCCAACCTCATCTCACCGCCTGCTTTGCAACCTTTCATCGCGCGATTGACCTTACAAGTTGCACGTCGAAGAGTGTGGATGTACACTGTTTTAGTTGTTGATTTGAATTTTTCACGCTGAGCAAACGGAGTGGTGTCATCCGGGAAGAACTGAATGACTTGGATGACCTTCAAATTGTCTTGGTCAACGATGACAGTGGTTCCATGGCTGATAAGTTTTCGTTCAGTGGTAGGAAGCGTTTCGTCGGTATACTTTTGTAAGAAATATATATAGGCGTCTTCAGGTAACCCCATATTCTTTAATAAATCTTCGCGAAATTGTTTGAGTAGATGAGAGTTCGAATGCGGAGGTTGGCCTGGATGTGATCGATGTCGATTAGCAGACAAGCGTTTTGTCATCCTTGAATCAAAGTGGCAATAAGTCAAGGGTTTGCTTATAAGATTGTCAAATGATCGAACAGAATAGAGTACTCGAGAAAGGCAGAGACGAAATTGAGAACTCAAGGATGAGAGAATACGCACTCAGCGCGAGCAAAAAAAACCAACACAATTGAATAGGTTACGAATGATGAGACATTTGGGTACTGAAACTTCATGCAGCATGACTCAAAAATCCCATCAATGGCTCTGGTATGTAGAGACCAACCATATTATATTGGCAAAATCCTAATAATGTCCCGTGCTGGACCCTTGAACTTCACAGTTCAAGTTCGAAATGCAAAGGTCAAGTTCGAACTTCAAAGCCTTGGGCTTAGAGTTCCTGCAGGTTGAAATTAAGCTTTGATGTCTATTGAGTTAATGCTATCTAATGAACAAGTGGATACACTTTTATAGAATGTTCGTGCAAAGATACAAGCAAATGCAAGACATATGAGATATAATAGTAAAGAAGATATATAAATTAAACCACAAGACCCAGAGTACTCTCATTTCAGTCTGTCTTTCAAATTTATTACTCAGTCAATCAGTGACCCTCATGCTATCTTGTTGCTCGACGGGAACTCTTCCTAGTGAGATTTGATCAGATGATGGACTGGGAGATATGTAGGAAACGTGACTACGTATGGCATCCAGCAGTATCAGGCACTGCATATCAACTTCATGGGTGCTCTTGGAGTTTTTCATGTGATCGACTATCGAGCTCTGGATATTTGCCCCGTTGACTTAATATCAGTACACGAAGTGAAATTTGATATCAGTGGGTACTCACAAGCCAGGAATTGATATTGTCCTGATACAGCTTTAAAAGAGGTCTTTTATCATCCAAAAATATCGAGATCTCATGGGTTTGATTCAGAGTCCCTGTGATTGATTGTTGAATTTGATTAGTGACGCAACTTCTGGTTGATCCAAACGCTTTGATGATACGGCTGAATCTGAAGCTCTCAGTCAATCTCTTTTCCAACGCATATAGTTGGTATCTTGCATCCTGATTGGCTTTGTTTGCGGTATGTATTGTATCAAGAATACTTTCAATTGACCTCGTTAGGAGCTTCAATGAATCACGATGACGGTCAAGGATCCTTTTTGCGGTGTGCATGTCCCTTGCAGCTTCCTGCCGATTAAACCACAAGGCAAACTATATGATTGTTTCAGTCATTGAAAATCTGTCGAATTATTGGTTGGTTATCTTACTCACCTCACGCATAAAGATATCAAGCTCCATTTGTCCTTTACCATTGAGTTGGCGCATCATGTCGGAGACCAAATCAACGGCATCGGAAACTTTGACCAGCAGCCTCACAGCAGCGGATGACTCTGGATAGTCCGTAAAAGTATCCAAGACACCCAATAGTTCTCTTAGAGATAGCAAATCTATGGGTTTGAGAGCAACATCATTACTCAGAGACTTCATCGATTCAATAAAGGTGACGGGGGTATATTGAGCCTTGTGAAGTTCTTTCAATTCTTGACCTGACTTCATTCGGTCTGTTGCCTCCTTCAGCTGGTCGACGTTTGTGGCTGATGAGCTTCTAAAAAATCATGACATATAACATTTGATGGTCAGCAATATTTAACAATGACAAATGAGTATGTATCAATATACCCCTGGAATATATACCAAGCCACGATTGTCAAAATAGCAGATAGCACTATAAATTGTATTTGGAAAGTGTGGTGCTTATGATGCAATGCATCATGATCAGGGGTGGGTTTGGTCGGAGAAGTGGAATCAGGCAAGTTGAATTTTGAATCGCCGGGCATTTCCTGACTAGATGCCAGCCAGTTTGGGTCCATGATTGATGAGGATGTATCGTAATTAGGTATCTCGGCCATGATATTTTGAGTCACAAGTAGACGGAATATTTAAAGAACCAGATGTTCGTTCCTATGTGTGATTTCTACGGTGTTCACTTTGAATTTTTGTAAGTTGGGGTATTGATGATCAGCGAAGTATGGGCCTGCCAATAAATATGTTGACTCTGGCTATGTCTTTGGTCAAAGATTCGCACCATTCTACGCAGGCTCTGAGGAGCAGCCCCAGAACCTCAGTGTCTTTGATGATAAGCCGTTTGTACGATTTAAGATGACAAACACGTTTCTCACTTCGAAAAGCATACACAGATGTGTTATTACGTTGAGCTTGTGAGATGCGTACCTCGCTTAGAAAACAACTTAGCTTGCACTACGCGATTCAATTAAAACAGTTAAAACCCCGTTGCGTTGTTGCGTTGAGCCCTGTTGAGCCCGCGAGATGCGTATCCTGAGCCGGCTTGTCATCCAGACTTCCCGAAACTTCTGAAAATCTTTTAAGTCCTTTGTAGGATTTGAAATGACAGACGCATTTCCCTTTCTGCTGGGGACTGCCTACTTGCAACACTGAGACGCGACTGAGTTTTAACGCGTAGAGAGTCACATGGACACTCAGAATCGCGGTCAAATCCACCTCACTCCTGCAACTACTCGCTCAAGTTAGAATCCTCACCGTCTCTCAACTCACTTGAAAATCACGCAATCTGATATACTAGTGGGTTTATTCTGATTCCTACACGTCTTGCTGAGATGAAGCTAGGGACTGACTCATCCAAATAACACAAATCACCTCCTACACTTTCAGGATAATGACTCAATCAGCTGTTTCAAGGCACCTCCTCAGATGGGCTGTATTTGCTCTAGTAGTGGCAACGATTCCGGCTATCCCCAAAGCTATCCACCAATACCTTGTCGGGAGTTTCAGGATCCAAGTCCCGACAGCTTCACACTTGTACTGTACCTATATTGGTGGCCCTTATTTTTGCGGATGCAAAGGCAATAGTTGCTCAAACAAGGTGGCTTCATTATCAAACAGCGTTACGTCTACTGCACGCTCTGCCGGAGATATTTTTGAATCAATCCTTGACCTTGGAAATCCTACTCATGTCCGTCTTTACCAAGATGAGATACTGGAACTGTCCCAGGCCATCGCCGCTTCTGATATACCGGAAAAGAAAGACCACCTGGGCAAATGCGTTCGAAATCTCACTGAGATGAACAGAAATGTGAGGGACAAGGTGAATCTCTTGAATGGTGCGAGCATCTCAGTCTTACGAAAGGTTTTTCAAAAGGTGAGATGTCATTTTTTTAAAAACTATTGATACGTTTCAAGGGCTGCCCAGCCAAAGCTGATACATAGTGACTTTCGGACACCCCAGCTTGAAGTGATCCGGCTTATTCTAACTTCCATCGCCAACGGGGAAAACAAGTACTCGACTGTGTCAGCTCAGGTCAGATTAGAAGATCTGGTCCAGACCATCTCGGATGGGTTTTCTGGCATGCAAGCGCAGATAGATGCCACCATTCCCCTGGCCAGACAAGGTTCGGCTCTTGCGGCCGGTGTGGGCGCCCAGTTTGCATGAGGAAACATGCGACTAAGGAAGTTCAAGGCGGGTATCCCATTCTGGAAACGTCTCGTGAACTTTGGAAGCTGGGGAACTCAATTGCTTGCTAGCAATATTGCATTAACTTCAGCAAGTGCATTGACTTTACGGTCTATTGCCACAAAGCTTGAAGACCTGTGTGCAACTCTTGTGACCTTTCAGGGCAACGCCGAACATTTTCAAGTAAGTGTGTTGTATCTTGACTAAAAGCCTGATAAATGACATATGAAATTGGCTTTTTAGGCTGAAATCATAGGCAATCATATGGCTTCTCGGGAGCTAGCAATCGAAGACAAATTTCGGGCAATGAGCCAGGTGATCGGTCGTTTCAGTCAGCTCACCAAGACAGCTGCTTACAAGTCTAAACCAACTTGGATCAATCTGCCTACCATTGAAGGTGGACAGCCATTCACTGTTTAATATTCATAACCCCAAACTTATACCTCCTTGGATACATCCCACTTCACAGCCCATTTGTTACTGTGCTGTACCTGTTTGTCTGATTTCTTCCCTTTGTATATGAGTGTGTTCCTTTTCAATTATTAAATGTTTTCCAATAAATCATGTCATTTATAGACGGAATATCAACCAGATGTCAGGGTGAAAGATTGATTTACAAAGAAAAAATGCTTCTTTTTGATTTGATGATCAATTATGAATAGCAATGTGGCGATATCTTATAAGTGATGTATTTACAAATTACATGATCTTTCAATATATCTACAAGGAGATCTTCTGTATTTCTATTGCCATTAGGTGAACAAGAAGTAAAGTTTTTCCATAGAGGAACGTAAATTGACATTCCTATATAGCAAATTGTTCTTCACAACTTTCATTAGCTTCTAACACTTCGAAGTTCATCTCGAAGTCATTTACGCTTTATTAAACCAGCCGACTCTGTCTCTAAATCATACCAAGGAGGTAGGGCCTCTGAGCCAACCCTAGTGGAAATATATATCCTCGTCTCTTTACTCTATATGACTCTCTTGTGATAGACTTCGAAGTTCATTTTGAAGTCATCTAAGTTGTATTAAAACAGCAGTCTCTTTCTTTAAAAAAATCAAAGCAAGTAGGGGCTTGACCCCAGTCAATATGTATCTTTGTTTATTTACTCTAAGACTATATGACTCTCTGGTGATACACTTCGAAGTTCATTTCGAAGTGATCTATGCTATAGCTATTAAACCCGCAGTTTTTCGAGAAAGACCCCGGATCAGGATTACCACGGCCTCTGAACCAACCTCTGTCCAAACATTTCTTTATTTGTTTGCTCTATATCACTATTTTGTGATGTACTTCGAACTTCATTTCGAACTTATCTACGCGACTGTCAAACCAGCAGATCTTGACTGGGGATGGTTATGAGCCAACGCCAATAGGTATAACACTTCTTTTCACTTTAACCCCTTGTTGTAACCGTCATCTATTTACCTTTCAAAACTCATAGCATGAACCTTAGCATCGTATTGGCGGCGACTCTCTGGATCAAGTAACACCTCAGCAGCAGCCGCTATCTAAGGTAGAGGGTCATCCACCAGCGTCAGAGTGTGCTCAAGGTTGGGAGGTAGTGGTGTGAGCTTGTATCCTGGCTTACCTGCTGTGCTACCCCAGTGTGTCCACCCTTGTCTGGATGAAAATACAACATGCATGACCTCCAGCGACTTTTTATCTGGGCAGGATTAGCCGTTGGGGCTAGAGCAAGCCGCTTTTTGAGGAAGTAAATATTAAAATCAACGCTAAGTTTCATTGGTAGAAATATTTGGGAAACCTTCACTCACTTCGTAATGAGTTGGTTCTCTTCTTTTCTGGGTTTTATGCCTGCAGGATATGGTGTTGCACTTCTCTTTGTAGGTGGCTCGTCTATGAAGCTGTGACAACCAAAGAAAATTATCATCCAAACTGTTGATGTAGAACTGGCTTTCAGAATTCCATAATTGTTTTAGAACTTCTTCTCCCGCTTTCAGTTGGCCAACGTGCAAATATACCTCGGCAAGAAATAGATGAATCTTGACAATACTTTCTTTCAAATTTTTATCATATGCCTTTTTTTCCTCTTTTGCGCGACTAATACCTCCTTGTAAAACAAAAATGGCATCTTGTGATTGATCTTGTGACAGAAAATCTTGAGCATACATATACATCAGGTCTAGGATCTCTTTGATGGTGAATACATCCTGAGAAATGTCTGATGCCTTTTAAAAGTGAAAAAGAACATCCTTGTCAATCAATAATATGAACAAATATCATGTATTGGAGCAGGTATCTACAGACATATTTACGATCCTCGGTACCGTCATTTAAGCTAGCCTCAACTTCAAAGTATAAGTGAGATAGTTCCAGATATTTTGGATGTGTGGCCGGTATGATGAGGGAAGAATCAGGATTCCAGGCTTGTTGGAGGGTGTCGAAGGCCGCTTGTGGTTGCTGAAGCCTCAAGTAACATCTTGTCAGATTGAAACAAGACAGAATCCAACCTGTATGGGGACCTCTACCGATGGTCCCGTTTTGGCTTTCACATCTTGCCATTTTGGTGGAATAAAAATCCAGGAGTTGCAAATATATTTTTGCAGAGTCTGTATAACTGCCTTTCAAGTTGGCAAATTCGGCTTGATCCATAAGTTGATCCACACGTTGCTGATGCTGTAAGGTTGGATCAGGAGGTGCTCGATGAGACTTGATAGTTGGGGGCATATTTAAGAAGCGCTAAAATTGGTCATCTGAAGCAAAGACATCTGATTTTCCATCAAATATATGATAAACCCACCATACTTCCCACTTTGGGACATTTGTTTGAGTGATAGACTTGTGTTGACGTGTTGGTTGTTTTGGCTTCCAGTGTACCGTTGTATGATCTCTTGGAGCGGGATGAAGTGGACGCGTTGCTTGATTCAATTCAAAGAGTCCTCGGATCGGGTGAAAAACTCATCTTGAACGTAATGGAGCCCAGGCCCAGAGTAAGCTGGTAACGTATCTATTTTCGCGATGATGATAGAGCAGGTGTTAGTGTATGCAATGTTGAGGCGGTAAGAGTTTGATGGGGTGGTGCAATTGAGATGTCACATCTAGGATACAAGTCAAACGCGCTCGTGAGGGGCTTAGTGAAGCTTACTCTGCGCGTGGAGCAAAGTAGTACAATTCAGGCCTCAATTGAGCTGGCCACTGACCAAAAGTCTCATTCCTTGGATCATCCCCCTTCATAAACGCTCTTGAGAGCTCTGAGCGTTGATGCGTAACAAGCGTAACTGAGGTACTGAGGTACTGAGGTGATAAAGACTTGTAGAAGGTGACATCCTTCCAGTTCACTTCTCGGCTGAGCCGCTTGCACACAAAGGCGCGTATGTCTTGGCTTTAAACCGGAAGACGTCTCATCATGAGCTACGCAGAATCATGATGGTTCAGTCTGGGAAACGGAGCTCACGAACTCAGCACGTCTGTCACGTTAATTGACGGTATATATATATCTGTCTACAACTTCAATGGTCAAAACATATCAAATCCAACTTGTGACTTCTATTCCCTTCGTTCTCCACACTTCAAGCTCGACGAAGCCAATTTTTCATAATCAACTCAACAATCGTCTGTGATGCCAAGCCTGGAGGTGTGCCATGAAATGAGGTTGGGCAAAGATGAACCTCTCAGTTTTGGTCGTAGCGCTGGGTTAAGAGCTAGGAGAGCTGTCACTGAAATTTCGCGACACGCCCCCTCGCTGCATGTTCTCTTGTTAATAATTCTTTCGCTAAGTCAGCACATTTCTTTGATTGGTCTTTGCATATACATGTTAGAGGCTTATTCGACTCATCTCATACAGCTACATGCGGGCGAATGCATCTTCTTGATCGACATATAAGGAAAGCGGAGGGTGATCTCCTGTCCATGCGAGTACGACTGACAGCTCAACCTTGCATCAGCATCTCAGCTTCTGTGGAAGGGCTTTGATACGTGCACGGCAACTTCGCCGATCATGGAGGAGCAGCATTCACGAGAGAGTTTCCCTACTACGCAGATGAAGCAACCAAAAATGTCAAGTTTGACGACCTACAACCCGGACAGGATGACACTTACTCCCACGCCGAGACGGATGAAGTTCACGTACCTATGGATGGAAAGAAAACAACCGCTGAGGAGAATCAGGTAACAAATTGGGAAAGCACTCAGCTTGGACGAGTTACAGGCGATTGTCCTTCCTCAGAAGATTTGGAATTAAAAACAACCTACATGGCACGCAAAGCTTTCACGCAGTGTACCAAGGACCGGGATGGGCCCAGAGACTTTGCGTTTCTGCACACCGGAGGCTCTGTGATTCATTCCTTGACTTCGAACTCCTTTATTCAGTCTAACACGTGGAGACGGCACCTACCTTGGCCCCCAATGCTAGGCGTATTCAGCAAGCACACGACTTTACCAGAGATCACACTGAAGGGTGATGGTTCAGTTGGAAACTGTTGGCCTCTGGTGGGATCATCAGGACAGCTAGGCATAGGTCTCAGTCGCAGCATCGACATCACGGCCATGTCAATTGAGCACATCGGAACGCAATTAGCGCAAAACGACATCACCGCTGCACCTAGAGAATTCGAACTTTGGGGACTAAGTGATGACCAGAGTCAATTGCCGAGCGATACCCTTTTGTTCAAAGGAGTATACAGCATCTCCAGTCCCATTTCACCCTTACAAACCTTCGAAATCAAGAAACCACATCCTTTGCTTTATAAAAAAGTGCTGTTCAAAGTCATTTCAAATTACGGGAACTCTCAATTTACATGCATATATTGGGTGAGGATACACGGACAGCCAATTGATTGAAAGCCAGCATGTATCTACCTTTACCAAAACATAACTTGGACTTTATTTATATATTTTCTAGTGAAATTTCTCATTCTTGTAATGTCTCTTAATCATTTCATTTCGTTTTTTTAATGTAGGATGAGAACTGCGTAGCGCGTGATACATTGAATCTTTTTTTATGTTGGGTAATAAAGACTGGATTTTTTCTTTGCTTTCTCCCTTTTTTTGCTACTCAGGGACATGTGCGTATAATCTCAAGTCCAATGGTTTTTTTCAAAAGCTATCAGCCCTTTAGAGCCACTAGGTCATTCATGCCTACAGATGCCTATACACAAAAGCCTACTAGCGCAACGCGTTTGCAACAACCCGCGCTCTGAACACGTTGAACTAAAGGTTCGATAACGAGAGCTTTGAATATGGCCCCTTTGAATATGTAACCTAATGAGAACAGAAGCAATATAAATATGCTTGAATATGATCACATCTAAAAGCAAAGGAGACAGAAGGAAATAAAGGGAAGGAGACGAGTCAAATCAATGAAGAAATCCACTCAACTCTTCTTAGGCTTCTGTAAAGTGTATTTTTGCTTGATAGTCTTCCTGTGAAGATACTTACACCGATTGCATTGAATATATATGCGCCTCTCCTTCAGGTTGGAAAAGGGGGTGATATTTGACGTTTGGTTTGTAATCAACTGGATTAAAATGGTCAAAACAATATACAAACAAATCATGTTGTTTAACTGTCAGCAACAAAGGATAGTCATTGTCCTTAGTCCGCACAATACCCAAGAGGTTGAGTAATCTTGGCTTGGGTCAAACCAACTGCAGTGCCGCTTTACATAACTCACCCAACTCCACACTCCGGAAAACTAATGATCCCAAACCTCAAACTCAAAGTCTGAACAATTCGAATACACTCAACTTATCACCAAGCTCCCAAGCTGCCTCCCCTTGAAGACAATTGTACCAAAGGATTCTCATACCAAAATTATGTCGGCTCGTAAAGGAGGAAACAACGTCGCTTACGAATGTCCCCATCTTCCTACATGTTTCAATCCTACCAGCAAAGGAAAACCTTGCCAAGACTGTAAGGGGTTGAACCTGACCGGAGTTCGTAAGCACACCCTCAACACCAGGCATCACGCGTATTGCGGCCCTGCTCGCCCAGTCTACGGGTGTGAGTGCCTCTGAGAACGATCTTGTCATCGTCATTAGTACTGACCCTCTGAATTGCCCGTAGTGACCGATCTGAGTGATGTCAAATTTGAAAGAAAGAGATGTCCAACACCAACACATTTACCTGTTGCATCTTCTGCCACTCTAAGCCGTACACCTTCAACCAAGCGATCTTCTTCACCCTCCTTACACGCAAGAGCCGCAACCCCTAACCCAAAGCCAACGTATTTACCTGTTGCATCTTCTGCCACTCTAAGCCGTACCCCTTCGACTGAGCGATCTTCTTCACCCTTACATGCAAGAGCCGCTACGCCCATCTGCCCACAAGAAAGCTCATACGAGGTAGCATCACCTTCCGATAAGGAAGGGAGAGCCAATTTAAGTGTTTGACGACGCTCTGTTCGAGGCACTTCTACAAGTAATCCTTTCCGAAATGACCTCTCCAGTATGGCTATCAATCCGGAGAAGTTTGACCTACACTCGCATCATCCCTTGCCGAATACCTTCTCCTCCACTCAGGAAATAAGTCAGGCTTCCAAAAATGCTCCGAATCCGTCTACATCCTCAATTCCCATTCCTGGCTCGCATCATGCCCAGTTGGACACCTGCTCTGATTACAACACAAGCACAGCCAACCAGCGCCATGTATCCTTTGACTCTCAAAACTTGAAAGAGGCAGAAGCGTTTACAAGTAAAACTCAAAAGCGAGCTCCTCCCATCCCGCTCACAAACGTCTGCTATGAGGAATCTTTTCGCCTTGATTGGAAGTTTGGTGCACTTTTGGCAGCAGCTGCCATCAATCTCTTCTGGTTCATCAGGGCATGGTTCGATGGCTTATAAAAAAGGCTCATCTAGCCATCATTAATGAAACGTACAAAAGAAAATTCTCTTGACTACAATACACGATCTTGTTTACCCTTGTCCTTCTTCTTAGTCTGGACAGAAACGGTTGTAACATTTAGATTAGAAGTGCATGTGACTAATACCCGGTCGTAGGTGTGAGAAGATTTCAACAGTGTCTCGGTGGAACTAGGGAATATGGGTTCTCACAGAATCTCTGTCCATCTAGAAGAATCGGGCAATCTGCTCCTCATGTCTTTATCTTTTCTGAGGTCTATTCTTCAATCAGACAATCTTCGGCTTATTTTTTCTTGTATCTTTTATGAGGTCCACTATATTATCTCTCATGTTTTTTGAATGTTCTCATTTCTTAGCGTATCTTTTTGAAGGTCTGATTTGTTTTCTTCCTGTTATTTCTCTCTCCACCGGCCTTGATTCAGTCAAAATTATGGAGCCGCCTTCATAATTTTGTAATGTATGCTACTCTACACCTCAATTTTTACATGGAATGGATGTCGCGTCTTTTCGAAAAGTTTGAACTGTTTGAACTGTTTGAACTTTAACTTTTCGAACTTTTCCGAAAACTTTAAACCCTTTGCCGGATTATCAGTCAGAGGAAATTCATATGACGTGATATCTTTTATTAAGAACCATCTACTCCAGCACCTTATTATTTCAGAGAGTATAAGTTGGCCAGTTACTCGACGCACAACAGTTTGCCCCAAAAGAAGGCAGATAGGTCAGGTCTCAAAGATACAACAGATAATAGGAGATTGAATAATCTAATGAGAGGGAATCAACAAATTATACCCTAGCCTAGCTCAGCAAATGTAAAAATTTAAATTATCCGATACATATGTAACACATTCATTGGAAGAAAACAAATACTATCATTAAAAATTTGTGCAATACCTCCAGGCAAAAAGACTCAGGTGCAGAAATTCTGAGCCAGGTCTTCAGACTTCCTTGACACGCAAAACACACGTTTCCCCATGCACTTGGTAGAAATTCGGGAGTCCAGTGTTTCAGAGATTCTGAAAAACATCCTGTTGGATATTGACCAGCAAGCCATATAGCTACGATTGCCATGATATTGAGATGGGTCAATATTGAACGAAATGCACTTCGCCATAGCATCACTGTGGGAATTTTTTGTAAGTAATAGGAACCAGCTTCATAAGTGAGAGTTAGACAACCCGTACCCTTCACATTCTTTGGAGGTCTTTCGGACATTTCAGATAATCTGAGGGTTGAGTTTTGATTGGTCTTGGGTTGTTGGACAACACGTCTCTTGTGAGTCGAAACTTTGGAAATGCAGCCATCGCATGGCAAGTGATAAGGACTTGACTTCCTGCTGGCCATTTCTTTCTGGATCAAACGATATAGTGGGGTTTGGGAGATAAAGTGATGTGTGAAGCTACTTTGGAGGAAGTCATACGAGGAAATTGATTCGGATGACGTGATGCGGAGACAAGCGTGTTCCTCGCACAGATGATAGGTATTTATGAGGAAAGGCTGTTTGAACCTCGTCTGAATACCATGTCAAACTTATAGATACTCAGTGGTTAAAAAGGCGCAATGCCATGAGTCCTCAGTATTTGTTCCTGTCATGGGGACCCTTTCCTGATCGCAGTGCTCACGTTCAATCAGCTAAGCTTCGATGACCATGATCTTTGTGATGTTAGTTTCCTGAGGCATTGGTTTCATTAGTCTTCCAAATGTTCTCCAAAAAACCTCGAATTTCATGTATGTGATGGTCATGAACAAAATCAGCAAAGTTTAAGAAAAGGCTCACTACGCTTTTTTCACCCGCTGAAGAAGCCTAAGCTCCCCTACGCTATACGCGACGGGAGCTTTTGTCTACACGGTGAGTCTTTATGACCCGCGTGAGAACAAAAAGCTCTGTGTAACAGAAGCTACGCTTTTGTGACCCAATAAGGGCCCTACGCTCATTGCATGTCGTCTCTTTTGTACCGCGTAGACAACCTTTGAGATCCGGAAGAATGACCCGCGTAGAAACCAAAAGCTCTGTGTAAAGGAAACTACAGCTTTCTGAAAATATCATTTCACTTTGAATGTGCATACTAGACCCCGGAGGTTTGAAGTAGGAACATTCCTACTTCAAAGTGACATATCAGACTTCCCAGATTCGAAGTGGGATGGAGTCAAGCTGGTTTGTACCAGCCTGCGTTAAGTTCCTGAAGCTTGGCGTTTTTTCTCACTACCTCTTGGTGGGCTTATGTAAGCCCCTGTGCGTAATGGATCATCGGCTATGTCCACACTGCCGTCTGCGTATTGTGGAATGTTTCTGCTGTGCTGGTACTGCATTACCCTATTCACGACGGGTGACCTATCGGGGCCAGTGTTGACAGTGATCCACTCAGCAACTACAATCCGATAAATTCGAAGGCCTCAGTCCCACTCCCGCTCAGAAGTTTACTTTCTTTTTTGGATCTCTTTGTTGATAGAGTTCCTTTGATGTCAGTGCCTCAAGAATGATAAAGACTTTCTAACCTCAGGACATTGTCTATAACTCAGGATACGGAGTTACGTTGTCCTGGGTGAGCCAAAGAAATCCTGAGCTACGGGTTGAGCAAGCGAAGTTTGAACGTTACAGTAATACGATAATGGAAAGGGCTGTGACTCTATATAAGGATTTTATTCTTTCTTGGTGGGTGCTTCTGTTTCCCAGCATCATAGACTAGCCATCGCTTCCAAATCATCAAGCTACTTTCTCACAATCTTCACCTATAGCCAAAATAACCCCACACCCCACTTTTTCTTCTAGTTCGCGTCTCATAAGCTATACCTATACTAAGAGCATTTTGTCCAGGAAACGCGCTTCGAGGAGTCATGGATCAACACGTGCATGTCTTAGCTCTGGGAAAAAAAGTTCTTGACAATGAGGTGAGTCAACAAACCAATTGTCCTAGGAAGATTCTTTGGCTAACTAGCTTGTCTTGTTCAGGTCATGATGGGAATGGTACTCACACAAATGGAACACATAGCAAAGAAGCTGAAAAATCCTTCAGGTAGCATGGTCAGTTCTGATTTCAGATCAATGAAATAAAAGCGGTGATATTGAAATCTCTGAGGAGAAAGGCTCAACAGGCACCAAACAATGAAGTTGGCATCATACCTCGACCACATGATTTATGGTGCGATGATCTTGAAAGATGTAAAGAGGGGATTGAGGTCCTAAGAAAGGTTTGATTTGCACATACAATTTTGTCTAGTTGACATTCACTCTGACCAATCTCCTTGATATCAAACTTTCCACCCTACAAGAAAATATCTGATGGAGAACACGAAAGCAACAACATACAGACTCTCCTTTTGACGATCAAAGGGTTAGAACAAAGACTTCAAGAAGTTGATGCTAAGCTGGATATTCTCGAGGATGAAGCAGTCAAGTCGCATCTTTTGGGTATAGGCCCAGTGCCTGCATGCAACAATCTTATAAAGACGAATCCGAATGCAGTAGTGAAAACGTTCAAAGAGGTTGCATACTTTTTTTACTTGCTACCTCTTTTCTTGCCAATATTTCCTAAACATTCTACTACTGGACTCCTGACTGTAACATATCTTTCAGAAATTGATTGCTCAGGAACAGCAGATGATCGGAAGAATTTTTAATCAAGTTGAAATTTTATTGCAAGCTCAACAAGAGATGATGGCCGGTGCAAGAGAAGAAGATCGTAGATATATGGCTAAGCTCGTCCACAAAGAAATTGTCACTCTACACCAAGAGCTATCAAACCAAAACGCATCACATGATGTGACTATGACAAACACTGAAGATGACATTCTGGCTTCGGAAATTCAAGCGTTGAGAGCAACAGTGCAGGCACTTGAAAGTACTATGCATAAACAGCAAAATACTGTAGAACAATACTCTCAAAAGGTGGAACTATTGGAATATATCCCAAGGATATCACCCCTCAAGAGCACAGGCGATGATACAGAGATTGACGGAGTGAGTCCTACCTATTTGTTGCAAGTTTTACCCCTATCTACTGGCTCTCTCTGAGCTATCCCGCTGATGAGTCTGCATGTTCAATGAATATTGAAGGCCGAAGATCTTCTGGAACAAAGGGTCTCTGCTGTTGAATCATCTCTTTTCTCTGCGGAAGCTGAAGCCCAGCGTGAAGCGATAGATGCCAAAAAGTTTGCAAAGTTTCAAGAACAAATGTTAAACTTAATTAAGGCGATGGTAGAAGACAGGAATCATTCCAATGTATGCGTATGTTGTCCCCTCTCCTCCAGACTGCAAGGTTATTGAGCAAAAGTTTTATCTATCAAAAGTCAGCAGAAAGGAGAGGTCATCAAAGTGAAGTCTTAGAGTCTGAAGAACCCAAATTGGACCTTGAAAAAGAATTCAATAGCAGATTTTCAACGTTCAGACAAACGATAGATGATCAAGTCGAGAAATGGATAGCCATCACCATCGCAAGAACATCAGGAAAAGAGAAAGCTTCTGAATTACATGATGTATAGTCATAATCATCCTACTTTACATTCTCAATTTCATTCTGAAGTCACCATCCTCTGACAGGTTTCGTAAAATTTGCGAGTCCAAATTGAGAACCTCCGATCTCGCGAAGAGGAGAATCGTAGGCAGATCTCAGAGCAAGCCAAAGCTATAATCAAGATGTCTACTGACCTTTCTTTTTCCACCCAAAGACACCCAGTCGGTCTTCAGATATCTACAGAGGCAGACTCTCAAAGACAAGTGTCAAACTTCGAAGCACCTTTGATTGGCGGTGGAAATTTACCAATTCTTCAAGTAAGTGACAATCTTCTCATACATCATATATCTTCACCTATAAAAAGAGAGTTTTCCCGGAATTTAGGTGAGATTGCTGTCAAAATGGATGCAATTAACTGAAAAGAATAAAATTCTCAATTCTAGGATATTGATGTGACTGCCGTAAGCTCTCTGGATGAACATTGTGAAGGGGCGGACAACAGACAGTCTGGCTCCTTGCAATCATCCTTGGGGGAAGTGCCAGGTGAACGAAGAGATTGCCAGGTAGAGGTGAGAACAGCAGGTACACTCACTTCGGGTGTAAGTACCTTCGTAGTTCCTCATGCATGATATCAAATGAAACAGAATCAGTGTTGACAGCTCTGCTTTGTCAACTCAAGACCGAGATACCCAATTCTGCTGGAAACAGTCAACATACGACGTTTCTCGAAACCGAATCACAATCCATGCACAACAACCTGGCAAATCATCCATCGAATTCACAAACTCCAACAGATATCAAGGGTCCCACTAGAACTAGCTTGGAGAATCCAAATGTTCAAACATTTAGCTCGCAACCCCGGCTAACACCTGCCTCAAGAAAGTCAAACAAATGGAGGAGATCTAGCATAACACCAAAAAAACCAAAGGGTCTGAGCCTTCGGCAGGAAAGACTTTTGATGTCTCCGCAAGTAAAAGAGGCTGATGAACAAACAGTAACTCCTTCAATGAATTCATCTTTGATATTGAGGATCTAACACTGACAGTTTGTTTGGCACAGGCCGGCCAGGTGCAGAAGCATTTTCGACTCATGGCAGGGGTGGATCGGTGTAAAGCAGACTTTCCAAAATGCCCAACACTTGAAGATCTTGAAAATCTACCAGAGCTGACGGTGGACTACAAGACTGCGCCACTTGGTGAAGCTGTTCGAAACCTCATCAGACCCGACCAACTTCAACCAACTTGGAAAATCGAAGAGATGGAACTGACTGTGAAGGGTATGCATCCATACTTTCGGCGTAGACTTCAGCAGTACAGTCTTCCTTATATTGGCTCAAGCATTGCTAGAGATGTGAAAGCAGACGACTGGAATCGACGGGTTCTTGCATTCTGCACGGATACATTTAACAGGGCATATGCAGGTCAAGAGTACCACGTTGTGAATCATGACCCACATCGTATAATGAAACTGATGAAAGAACATATTGAGTACCGCTTGAAAAATATGAGAAAGTATAAGAATCAAATAGATGCACTTGAGTTGTCTCAAAAACGAGACCGCCAGCAACAAAGACGTTTACGAGTACGCTCCCGTATTGAAATTTGGATACGTTTCAGTACAAGACTTATTCTTTCTATCAACTTTTTTAGCTTGCAATTCGAAGGAAGGAAGTTTGTGAGCCACCTGAGGACTCACCATTCTCAAGATTCAGTGGCCTCTTTGAAGATGAGCAACTGTGTTCATCAGACGAGTCAGACGAGGACGTGTTAAACGAAGATCGCGTGAGGCATACTCCTATATGGCGAAGCTCTCTGGCTACCTCCCTCGTGGAAAACATTGATAGAGCGTACCAAAAGATGAGGCAAGATGAATGCCCAAAGCGACCAGGAAGGAAACCGGCGAAACATATTCTTTCAAACCACCGACCTGAAGGGGGCAAGTCACGATGGCCCGCAGGCCTACCAAAAGATTGCTACAATGAAGTGTGGCTACGCTCGCTTGACAAGAAAGATATGGATGGTCTCGAAATGAAGGAATTTGTCCTGGAGAATCTGTTTCTATCTCTTTCATGATGGCTATCCTGCCAAAAAGTCTCAGTTCCTACCGACCCTATGAACTTGGGTCTGATGTTTTCTTGTCTCTGCTATCAAATTTATTTTTGCTTTTTACTTATTCTGTGAAGAGATGTTCTCAATTAAAAATTATCCAAGCTACGCAAAGTCATTTCTCTGGTAAAGTGATCCATATCTCTAATCACACAACATTGTTTTCCAATGTATCTTGCTTTCTGGTAGTTGCTTCTCTTACAATTTGTGTTTCAAAGTTTGAAACTCGAAGCTCAGACCTGAAGTTCGAATGTGAGATTCAAAGTTCAAAACTTCAAGCTTAAAGCTTGAGTTCGAGACTTGGCACTTTGAAATCTTCACCTATATATGACAAGGCGAACTCGAACTTCAATGATCGAGGTTCGAAGTTCGAAGTTGGAAGTTGCCCTTGGGGAAGCTATAAAGTTCGAACCTCCGCTTTGGGATGAGCTTGGGCGTTTGATACTGTAATTGGAAGAAATAAATTCCATCCACAAGGTTCGAACTCACGTCTCGGAATGTCAATATCTATTGGCAGAAGTAGCATTGGCGACTAAAACAATCTCAGCCCGTAATTGCCACAGACTTGGAGTTTGCTCCTCAAATCTGGATGAAAAGCATTGATATGGTTCACTTGTTAGGCTGGTTGACGGTTTGGTCGACGTTTGGCCTCGTCTACCAGCGTTGAGCTTTTTATAGTGGTTCTTCTTTTGAGTCAGTAGCATGTAACTTGGTCACCTTTTTGAGTCCTCCCGTAAAGTGCTTCCCTGATTGACATGGCCCGCCTCAACAGGGCTACAGAACATCCGCTCGCAATGTTCTTCTGTTTCCCTGTTCCCGTAGTGACTGAACCAGACTTATCCTATGCAAAATTGAAACCCGAATCCGAGTCTTTGAGAGCCAGAGCATACGTGCACAATAAGACCCTCTGTGATTGATGCAAGGAAATCAATCATCAGCCATCTGCTCTCTCTAAGCCTTAGCATCTCGACATGGATTTGGTGAGCGATGATCAATGTTCTGCTCCTTCTCACATACCCTTAGCATCAAGTCACAGACATGTTGAGAGAAGCGTATCTGGTCATACTCGCAATCACCGGAATGTTGACTCCCTCCACTCAAATGAAGCGAAAGAATCTGACTCTCACCTCAATCGACTATTTGACAAGCTTCACGAATGTAGAACACGCCCCGACATGGATGCGGAGAGTGGTTCACAGTGTTACGCTTCATTCAGCAGACCCTTGGCACCACGACACAGACGTGATGAGCGAAGAGTAATAGGATCTCAACATGACGGCCGGGATGTTGAGGAGTTCCATCGACTGTACAGCGATGTCAGGGGTTTACAGGATGAAGGGAAAGGACGCGACTCTCACATCAATCGCTTGTTCCAGGAGCTTCAAGAACATAGGACATGGACAATCGAACAGATAGGAAATATCTCTTTGCAACAAGAAGACATGGATTCACGCAATCGGGGAACTCAAAGACTGATCACAAGGCTGATAAAAAACTTTGATAATCTGAAGAGTGAACTTGAGGAAAAATATGAGCACTTGTGGGAAGAAAACACGCAGCTTGCAGGGGCGTTAGCAAGAGCACAAGGCCAGTATCTTCCACCAATATACCTGTGCCTATGTATGCTTATCATCTCCACATCTCTTTCACTCTCAGACAAGCACTGCATTTGGATTAGTGCTTATCACACGCCTGTAGAGGAGTCTAAAGATGTCGAAGCAAGGTTACAGGAAGCAGTTCGACAGCAGGGTTGGTATACAAAAGAGGCGCTCACTAAACTGTCTCAGAAGACCAAAGGTATGATTGAATTACCTCACTTCACCAAATCATGTCATGAAATCTCACACAAAAGCTTCTCCTTTGTTAGCATTCCATGAACACCAAATTCAACTGGAAAAAGTCACTGCTTCACGACTTCTGGAATTCAAAGTGAAAGTGGATGAAGTATTACAAGCTGCAAGAGGTAAGTCCTCTGAGTCTAAGAATGATATCAGATAGAGATATTAATTACCTATCTTTCATATCATGATTTTTGGGTAGACGCACAGAACCAAATTTACATCAAGTATGAAGAGGTCTTGCAAGAGCAACACAAGACTGAAAAGATACTGTCAAATCTAAAATGGAATATGAATTTCATACCAGGAACACAAAAGGTGATTGGTTTGACATTTGTTAATCGGTGATGGTCAGAGCTGAATTAATCGCTCTTTTTTCAGAGCATATCTTACATAAGGAATTAAAAGAGGAAAAACTGATGAAATTGGCTGAAGGTGAGAACTTTGTAGACGGGTATAAACCAATCATTTGCAACAATCTGTATACTGATGGAAGATACCTTGGATTTCCCAGCAGAGCATGCATGTCCGCCCCATCAAACTTGTATATCAATGCGCACAGGTTTAATGTTAGCTTTTATGGCTCTATTGATGTATTTATTGATGACAGAAGATGATTCTCGCCAACCCAATGTGCTTTAGTTGATCACTTGTAACTTATGCATAGTGAAAATTTGGTTTATACTCGGCCACCGTCAGGCTAATCTCTACCAATAGTAGGCTCATCGTAGTGGGAGTTATATAGGAGAAAACCAAGATAGAAACCTCCAAGAATAAGTTTTTAAATATGCTGATGTCGATTTGACAGCATTGCCAAACTTTTCGAAATTCTAGCCTAATCGTGCAACTCAGCTGGAAGTTATCGCTAAGGGTCACACCTTCGGCACCGTATAATACTTGCTAAGATGTATAGCTGAATAATATGCTCCGTTATTGGTTTCATTTGTGTATAGAAACCAAAACTCACGTGGTCTTAGCCAAAAAGCATGACTGGCACTTGGCGATATGGGGATCTGAAAGAGTGCTTGCAGGGGGCGTTATAGATCTCTCACAGAACTTTTTTTAGGCTATATCATGTGCATAAACTCGCTGCTGGTCCAACTGGCTTTAGTATTAAAATTATCCTACATTCAACATCCTCATCATCAACAAAACATATGAAAGGTATTTTTTACAAATTTGATCTTCCTTCTTCCGCCCTAGCACCTTATTTGTAGCAGGTCTTTTGTATGTATTTTTTCGGTTCGTTTTTTAAAAAATTAAGCCTTGAAGGCTTGGCTGAAAGCTCAAGCTTCTGATAACAGCATCTTCGAAGTTGGAAGCAACCAAAAGCGTGTCCAAGCTGCAAAACAGATAGCCAGAGTTACCCCAATTGTGATTGTGGATAGCGTGTCACAGAAACCGTCCATGGCCGTCAGGCCATAATACTTCAGAAAATGATGCTCTGTTGTTACGCATAGATGATGTTTGGTAGTAGTTGGTAGTGGTGCCAATTGTTGTTGCCAGAACATCCATGCTTGTGCGTGCAATGACCGAAGTGCATGAGATATCATTTGGTAAGTCTTGATGAGCACACCATCTAGCAAAATGATCGCTCGAAGAGTGCAGAGTATCAAACATCTGTTGAGCTTCGAATTCATCTTGACTTCCCATTAGAATTTGTTCAAACCGAAGACATCCGGGGTCAGACTATGTATGTACATCCAGCAAGCTCGATAGAGGTAAAGCATTATTTACCTGGCCGTCTGGTAGGGAGTATACCTTGACTTCAATGTATTCGAAATGTTGATAGGTTGGAGTGTGTTTCGTTTTGATGTCCGGGTATGGAATCGTATTCAAGAGTATGTAGATCTGATATATGGTCTTTTATAACAGGTAAATACCTCTAAATACCTCTTCTTGTTGAGCACTTTCACTTTCTACTCAGTCGTATCTCAGGAACCCCATTGTTACTTCCTTGAATGAAGTTTTTGGCATCAAGCATTCTCTCTCAACTGTTGATTGATGAGCTGATCAACTCAGAGCCCCCGCAATGAATGGCATGATAGTACTGAAACCGATCGCTGAGCTCATCAAACTGACTGCCTCAGTTTTGCTCTCGGTGTTCTACTAAATCACATCTCAGTTTTGTCATAGATCTGTGCTAGCATGTCGACACGCTGGGCAGATCATTATTGAATCATGCTTCTAAGTATCTCAAGACATTCTCACCATTTGATCTGGATGGAAAGAAACTAAGTGTTTGTGCAGGTGCGTTTATGACCCTCTAAGGGCTACGCCGTTCGCCCCTGGAGGATTTGTCTACGCAATGGAAAAAAGGCCCACCGCTTAGACAATTTTTGAGATTCGTATGACCCGCGTAGGAACCAAAAGCTGAGCGTAAAGGAAAGTACAACTTTCTGATAATACCACTCCGCTTTGAAGGTGCATAGTAGACCCTGGAGGTTGGAAGTAGGACCATCCCTACTTCAAAGTGTCCTTGAACCACGGTATGTTTTCTCACTATGTATCCCTCTCACAATGCCGTCTGCGTATCGTGGAATCTGCCTGCTGTGCTGGTACTACCCTATCCACAACGGGTGACGTATTGGTGGCAGTGTTTACAGTAATACAGTCAGAAACTGCAATCCGATAAATTCAAAGCTTCCACTCCCTTGTCGATAGACAATTTCTTTTGATGTCAGTGCTTCAAGGAAAGACAGGTCTCGACCTTAGGTCAGAGAGCCTAGACCCGCTGAATCTGAAGTTCGCAAAGGCCTTATTCATGATGCATTTTTGTGATCTCATTTTATTCTTTTGGGTATTTTATACTTATATCATTCTATTTTGTTTATTCAACTCAAGACAGAAAAAGATGGCCCACACTTTTCCATACACATACCAACTCGGAAACGGAGCTCTATGCTTGAATTTTCCATTTGAAAATCTATTTGTAAGAAAAGCAACTATCGGGGAGCAAGATACATTTGTTGTGTGATTGCTCCTTTGTTTCTATGAGAGATGGATGAGAGGGAGAACCAAAATCCTGGGCACTGATAAACAGAACACTTCATCATGAAAGTAAGCTCGAAGTTCGAAGTTCGTAGTCCGAAGTTCGAAGTTGAAGTTGGAAGTTGGAAGTTGCCCTTAGGGAAGCTATAAAGTTCAAACCTCCGCTTTGGGATGAGCTTGGGCGTTTGATACTGTAATTGGAAGAAATAAATTCCATCCACAAGGTTCGAACTCATGTCTCGGAATGTCAATATCTATTGGCAGAAGTAGCATTGGCGACTAAAAAAATCTCAGCTCGTAATTGCCACAGACTTGGAGTTTGCTCCTCAAATCTGGATGAAAAGCATTGATATGGTTCACTTGTTAGGCTGGTTGACGGTTTGGTCGACGTTTGGCCTCGTCTACCAGCGTTGAGCTTTTTGTGGCGGTTCCTTTTTTCAAGTCAGAACCATGGAAATTGGTCACCTTTTTGAGTCTTTCCGTAAAGTGCTTCCCTGATTGACATTCTCTTATCTCTTAATCAGCAGGATGGGGATTCAAACCCAGTCCTGATAAGGGGTACTGGAATACCGAACATTCAATCTGTGAAATTTGGAAGCTTGAAGTTCAAACTTCAGCTTCGATGTTAACTTCCAGCTTCATGATTCCTAATTCTAAAATATTTTCTCAGACATACAAAGGAGGTGACCAACTCCACAGGAGGAATAATAAACTCAAAGAGGAAACATCTACAAATTGATATGTATATATACTCAGGATAAATTAGGATAAAACATCAGCTGCATCATACATGATAGAATCCTCATCATCTAAAGCTAGCTCCCGAAAGACATAATCAATGAGTTCAAGTGTTCTCTTCATGCGATTGCATACAAAATTGTATTTAATACCCATTGGCGTATCTTCATCGATCCCAGCCACTTTGCCTGGTATTTTCCAGTCAGCAATCTTGTCATTGAATAAGTTATAGTATTGAAAGACTGACCATAAAACATGTCTTTCACATTCATATGCAGACCTTGTATAAGTTGCAAGACCTCCTTATATCTGTAAGAATCACTTGAAATCTTTGCACGCTTAGTAATGACCCTATCTGGAGTAATTATATTTTTTCATCAGTAGAGCTCCAATGAAGAAGAATGAGGCTTACCTTTGGACCCATCTACGTTGTTAAGAGAACGCTTGAATGGATGCAGTGGTTATGCAGAAGATTCATTCGACTCTCTTTCAATATAAGTCCCAGAAGATGACAAATCAGGAATAGTGTTCGAAATACTACAGTTGCTAGAATTCAAGGTATGATCTCCAAGCACAATATGCTCCATGAGTAAGTTTTGATCATCACGTTCAGAATTCACTAGAGCGGCACCATCATAATTCGGGACCAAAAGCTTCTTGTCCATTGGCCTTGGTAGAACACGTAGAACGCTTTCCATCGGAACAATTGGTCTGGATGGGCTCTTCGAATGTTTCAAAACTGGAGAGAGTACCGTATTAGATGATCAGGTATATCTGTTCCAAGTGGAAATGAGCTTACAATCAGGTCGATGGAGTTTCTTGACGAATTTACCACCAAGCGTTTGAATCTTTTGAATAAGTCTTGGCATACTGTGTCTAAAGCAAGCGAAGGAAGATTTAGGTTCAGATGTGAGTGTACTAATAAGAGGAAGAAAAAAAGCTATAACATACCAATTTGAAGTAGAATTTGTTATCTAAAATACTGGTGAGGAGATGGACTTTAATTTGAATCAAATCAGTCTTAGAGGTCAGAATTTCTACAAAGATGAAGATCGTGATAATAATCAATCTGATGATTACCGATCTGCTGTACGCAATGTCCACAAAGCTAACCAAATCTTCCATGTTTTAATTTCCCCCCCTTCATTAGCTTAGATAGGACTTCTGTCTTCTATTTTTTATGCCTATGCCTGATCATACTCTACATTCATTCGGGCCAAGATAGCCTGTCTTGTTGAACTCTGAATGCGTAAAGATTTCGAAGCGGCTGTACCTATACTTTTTTCCCTGGTGGAAAGCTAGTTCAAGATATAAAATAGTAGTTTATGTTCATATTAGATGAGGTTCCGAGAGATGCTATGAGGTAGGAGTTACGACACGGTCATATCTATGCTGTTTTCCAAGTTTTGATATGGTCATACCTATGCTTTTTTATCTCGTGTATATCTATCTGGGTTCAGTTATAAAATAGTTTTTTGTAGTAGATGAGGTTTAAGGAATACTATGATGTAAAGGTTTCAATTTGGTTCTACATATGCTTGTTTTCTTGTGTATGTCTGGGTCAAGCTAGAAGATACATAGCTCTCACCGGTGATAGCTCTTTCCATCCTGATGATAAGTAGACCCTGCTGAGCTGTGAAAGGAGAGGAAATGATCTCACCCCAGTTGTCTTAAGACCGTATAGGGCCAGATTTCTCTTTCTGGAAGATGTACATACAGCCTCAAGTTTGTGCCATGCAGAGAAAATTCTTGAGAGTGGATTTCCATGGATTTGGATCTTGCTTGGATGAGGCAGTGATGAGTTGGAAAAGGTTACATTCCAATTCACCCCAAACAAACATGAGTTGTAACTGGATTTAAGTCCACTCATTCAACAGTGGTTTATCCACAGATCCGCCCACATGATGGCGCATAAAATACACCTCACTTTGACCCTTATCACGTAATCTACGTATCAGCAAGGAAAAGCAAGCAGTGGGCATGGAAAGTGCTGACTTGAGATGAAGGGCCTGAATTTTCCTCCATCTCAAGTCAATAGTGCAAGACCGTCGTATCTTATAGATGTGAATGTGGGTTAAGCTTTGTTGAACAACGTGGCATTTGAAGAATAAAGAAATTTCATTCTCAATATGGTTCAATTTGAACTACATATTTTTCATTTATTTGCATCTTAACTTGTATGTATTCTTTTTGTTGTGTGTCTTTCCAAATATATTGGCTGCCTGTTTTATTTAAGCAGTACGTACTAGTTTACTTGACACCACATCCTAACAGGAGAAATACTCAACATAAGCCTGATTGTATTAAAGAACTGGAATCGGTTTTGGCTCTTTGGCTCTTTTGCTTTGGTCAAAATTCTTCAAATAAAATTATAACACACAACAACTTCTGGAGTCTGAAATAATTTGTGACCTATAGACATGAGATAGAAATAAATTTGGTAAACCCTTGCGCCCTATGGGGTTGCACTACAACCAAATATAATCCTAATGAGAGTGACGGTGGGGAAATAAAACTTTCTTAATACTACTAAGTATGACAGTATAACTAATTTTTTGTTGAGAAAGAAATGTATAAATCTAACAAAACAGATATTAGATGATGAAAGTTAGGATACAAAAAAGAGACATGATTATAACTCGCCCATAAGATAACTGATCAGAGAAGGTACAAGTGTATCAAAAGAAGGACTACCAATAATATACAACCACTATTGGTTGGATTTGCCTCTTCCAGTGATGCCAACACATAAAACAACACGACAACCATACAATGGATGATAGATTCTGTGAATACATTAAAACTGAAATCAGCAGACGGCCTTGTCTTGAAAGATATCTGTGATACATACTAATGTGCAAACGGGCTTGGTGGACCTCAACACGCTGGTAGATATAAATTTGTTTCGCCTTCGAATCGAAGGCGATAAAGATATCTGGTCTCTGCCACGGTGTGATTGTGTGACCTTGTTGTTTCGCGTCTGTTGTTTTTTTGATGGTCGGCTTTACCGACAGTATCCTGTGCGTATGTTTTTGGTCATTCTGAGGAGAGCTGACCCATGGGTGGGATTTCTTTTGTTCTACGACGGACATGGTGAAAGAAGTTCTGCCTGGCACTGATTCAAAGGAGGATGCTGGAACTTGAAGCACCTACGCAACAAGGTCCTTAAGTAATATGTAAACAACTGGGACAACTGGGACGCCTCAGTCGCAAGGAACACTCAGACTTGCTCATGGAAACGGCTTCGAGCGGCTTGCGTTACAGTCCTAAGGGCTAAGTAGTAACTCAACCCTCAAAACTACTGAGACTCAGCACATATCCTCCCTTGAAAACTAGAGGTACTTCACGTAGTAAGCAGCTTTTGTGGTCTGGAGACTTTTCATTGATCAGCAATTTTTCGAAAGTGTTATACTCATGATGGCGCCTTTGTGATCTTCAGCATTTCTTCATCCTCGAAATAGTCGTTTTCTTCTGAGGATGCGTAGCTCAGATGCGTATTTCATTTCAACGGGCTGCATGTCACCCTATCAATCTTCGTACATATATCGAACACTTCTCCACTTCAAGTCACATTAGGAGTATTCATCGACTCATCGAGCCTTATCACCCAAGAGCGTAAAGGATTGCAAGATGCGAATGCCGACCTTGATACCCTGCCACTGTACCGACTGTCAAAAAAACGCCTACCAACATCCCCAGACAAATGACCAAGTATACGGAACACTCTGGAGACCGGCAAATCACAAAAAACATGTCAAAGGCTTTGCCACACGAATCACCCACACGACCCAAAAAGCCTCTTTGTCCTTCGATATCTCAGGTGTGTAGACCTTTCCCTTATTAAATTCTTAATTTTTGTCTACTTCAGAGTCTGAGAGCACAGATTTGACAGATACACAATCACCATCACAAGATCCCCAAAAGTCTTCGACAGAGAGTTCGCCGCTTCCTTCTTCAGACTTACATACAACGCCTACCAATTTTAAAGTCACAGAAAGCCACTTTCAACCATCATGGGACGGGCCAATAATAGATTCAAGCTTGTTTCCTCTTCTGGTCTTGAATTGGGGTTTTATATTGATTTTTGTTGAAGTGTTGATTTTCTGACAAGCAGGCATCTACAGTCCAACATACTACGACACATTTCGACGTTGGAAGCCTTCTGACCTCGCTTACTTCCTTATGATCACATGTTTACACATCATCAAAAACATCAGTGTCAAGGCGGCCACGATTTGCTTGCATGTCATAGGCGTAGTCTCCAGCTTCAACACTGATAGAACGTCTTCGCATATCAATTTACCTAAGACTATGAGTACGTGCCTCGATGGACTAAGAATCGAACCCAAGATCCGTAGAACAGTGTGCTGTCCGAAATGCTTCAAGCTGTACTACGAGGATAATATCCCGAAGTTTTGCACGTATCAAGCTACTCCTAGAAGCCGTGTATGTTCAGAGCCGCTTCCAAACAAGCCAGGTGATCAAGATGGGACAACCACGAAACCATGTCGGCTCTTTTCAACCGTATCTTCTACTGACTGGTTAGCTCGCTTTTTGAATCGACCTGGGATCGAGGACTTGCTGGAATGGAACGATGATAATTGGGAAACACGAGGCCCAATGATGAAGGATGTGCGGGATGCTTCAATGTGGCACTTGCTTTGTGGGGAAGATGGCAAGCGATTTACTTTGTCCCCCGGGAATCTGGTTTTCGCTTTAAATGTGGATTGGTTTAATCCAGATGGAAACAAGGCTGCATCAAAACAAATCTCTCTGGGGACTATTGCTATGATTTGCTTGAATCTGCCACCAGAGATTCGTTCCTCTCAAGAGAACATATTTTTGGTGGGCTTGACCCCTGGTCCTTCCGAACCAAATGTAGATCAAATTAACCATGTGCTGGCGCCTCTAGTCCACAAACTCAAGGCCCTATGGAAGGGTGTCAAGCTTTCTTTGACAGCCAAGTATCCTAGTCATGGAAGAATTGTCCGTGCAATGCTAGGTCCCATCATCTGTGATCTTCCCGCAATACGAAAGGTTTTGGGAATGGCAGGCCATTCATCGAACCGGCATCTGTGCTCGCTGTGTCTACTTGGAAAGGACGAAATACATTTATTACGGATTCCGAAAGAACTACAAAGGTGCACACATACACTCCGCGAACAGGCTTTGAGGTGGAGAGATGCAAAAACAATACAAGAACGCAATGACATATTTGCTGAATACGGCGTGCGGTACTCTGTCTTATGGGAGCTTCCGTATTTTGATCCTCTTAGACACACCATTGTAGAGCCGATGCACAATGTCTTCCTTGGTATTCTCAAAAACCATGGGACGAGGGCCTTTGGCATGAAGTCTGACCCAGAATCTCCTGAAGATCAGAAGAACGCGGATGCTAGCGAAGTAGTAGAATTGGATACGGAGTCGGTAGCCTCAGACATCTATATGGAAGAGGGCTTCGATAACGCAGCATCAGCAACCCCAGGACCAGAAATGGGATCCTCATCTCCACCGCCAACTCCAAGACATCTATCAGCAGAGAGCAATGACAAATTGTTGTCTGCCTTCGAAGACATGAACTTAGGAAACCAATCTTGTCCTGCGACATCACCCACGGATGATCAAGCCACGCAAGAGCAGACAGCAATCTCTTCAGAAGATGAAGAATTGGATGAAGACTTTTCTGACTGTGAAGATGCTTGTGACGACGAACTTGGTTGGAAGCTTTTTGATGATGCTCAAAACCTAGCTACGTTGCAAGATATCACAAAAAATATACGCCTTCCTTCCTGGGTTGGACGTGTGCCTAGCACTGTGGGTACACGGAAGGGTGGAAAATTGAAGGCCGATGAGTGGGTGATTCTCTACCAAGTCATGATGATTCCTGCAATAATTTCTGTCTTGCACAAGGACGGCAATGCTACAAAATTTACAGATCACAACTTCGTGCGCAATGTCCTACATCTTATAAGTGTATTGAACATTGTTTGGAGATTGGAAGTGACTGAACGCAATATCAGATCCCTTCAATACCACCTGCGAAGCTATCAAAATGGATATTCTAAACTTTACACTTCACTTTCTGTCCTACCTAATCATCACATGGCACTGCATCTCCCCGAATGCATTCAACGGTTTGGGCCCACACCATGCTGGAGTGCATGGTTGTTCGAGAGACTTAATGGCAAACTAGCTAAAATTCCAAATAATAATCATCCTAGTAAGTTTATAAGATCAATCAACTGACAGATTTTGACTGAACTGACGAAAGTATGGTAGATTCACGCGAATTGACAAGACTCAGGAAGTTTACCCTAGAGCAAAACCTGCGGCCAGTTGTGAAAATTATATGTGAAGCTCTTCCAACAGACATTGCTGCGAGTATCTTGGAGTTATTGCAGCCCAGTGGGACGCCACGAGGTAGCACCTCTGGATACAAGGCCCAAACGGGCATTCCTGTACACGCTGAGCTCGTCTATGACTACAATGAAAAGAAAGCAGAGACCTTGGACTACGACACTCATGAAAATCTTGCACGCCGTATGAAAGAGCTGGGATGCGGGGATGTTGTTGTGGCTAGTCGAATTTACAAAACACCACTGCCTCCATCACATCTGATATTGCTAGGACGTATGGTGAACCAAAGAAAAACGGTCAAACATGGCGACATATTCTACTCAACCTGGGATCATCACCAGGGAAATAGCATTGTTATGTATGAGTCTAAAGATCTATGCCGTCCAATGAAGTATCGGTGGGGACAAATCAATGAGATATTTGTCACAAGCCCTGGGTCACAAGGACATCCGAAGGCGCAGTTATGGTTTGAAATTCTCCGATTCTCCAAGCTGAGAGCTTCTGAGAAAGCAAAGCATGGTCTTGACAATTGGCAAAATGCCAGAATGACTGTCTTGTACACCTCTTCCAAAAAAAAGGATCTGGTCCAAGTTGATGAGCTTGTGGCTCAAGGGGTAGCTTGGGATACCCCAGAAGGATGCTTTGGAATCAAGCAGCCAACCACCCTGATTATAAATATGAGCAAGTTTTTTTGCGAGGAAACTCTCTGATTTTCCTTTTCAACTCTTGATAGAATTTCTTTTCTCACTTTTTGTGTTTTTCTTAGTCAAAATGTCTTTTGTTATCTTCATGTATTATCTCAAAACAATACTTGATTTGTTTGTACATGCAATGGATGATCATGATAAACATTTAAATGTTCAAAGACTTTGAATTGGTAAAAAGACCCTTTCCCAAGTCGCAACAGCTGATAATTGTATTGTATCACCAGACATCGCTGATGTACTTCGAACTTGTAGTTTCTACTAGGCAAGTTTGAAGTAGGATGATCTTGCTTCGAACCTACATATCGAATGCCACAGGTTCGAATGTTACATCCTACTTCAAACTTGTAGTTTCTACTAGGCAAGTTCAAAGTAGGATGATCTTACTTCGAACCTACACATCGAATGCTATAGGTTTGAATATTACATCCTACTTCGAACCTGCGTACTAAACTAGTCTAGACACCGCAGGTTACGAGGTTCTAAGTATATCCCACTTTTGACTTCATTTTTAGGCAGCACAGGTCCGAATAATGAAGTATGACCATCTACGTACCAGACATCGTAGGTCTGAATATTTTTAAGTAATCAATCTCATCCTACTTCAAAATCATAGCAGTTTGATGGGCAAACACAGAGAAAATATGCAGTCATAGAATAACACTGTTTTCCTGATTAACATATCTTCAGTGAATCCAAATCTGTGCTGATATTATATTGGGTATTCTCAATATGTTCGACTACCTCTCCCTTTGTGGTCTTTGATGACATTTCTCAAATTTCACAACATACTTATCGGGGAGTAGCATAGAAAAGGCCGAGACATGAAGTACAAAGGCAAGGTACTAGTGGTTTGGAGGCGAAATAGAATAAGCGCACATGGGGTGGAGATTTGCAACACACACCTCCATGAAAATCTCCGATTCAAAAAGAAACCAGAGAAAAAGATCACAAAGCCGCACATTTCAAAATGAAATCAGAAAGACAATTATTTGAAAATGGAAGTACCAATGAGTTTCAAGATACCAAAAGTACATATAGTTCATTGGCCTTCAAGAGGTTTGACGATAAGCTTGACTTCTCCCTTGTAAGCTTTGAACTTATCCCGCATATCATTCCAAATACCTAAAAAGCCTGTAAAATTATCACCCTTTGGGATCAATCCGGCAATATCCTTGGTTTTTTTAGCTATAAACTTCTCCATATCGTTGGCTTGCGTTTTCAATTTCTCTATGATAAACTTTCCATCAAATGGGCTTGGAATTACTTCACCCCAGATATCAGAGGTTGCATCAGAACTCTTGCCTTCCTCTAAGTTCCAGTTCGCCTCTTCCCCAGTTAGTTGAGCAGCGTTCTCCTCTAGAAACAACTTGCCTCGAGACTGATCTTTCCATTGCTCACCAGCCGACGCCTGTGTTCTAATGACTATTTTCTTCACTGGTGATCGTAGATTGCCTTCTTCGGACAAAAATTCATCTTCCCTCCCCCGCTTCCTTGGTACCTCTCTGGTGCCATGAGATTCATTGGTGAGACCCCAATCCACCCCGGCATGTTTGACGATGGACTGCCATTTTTTGATGCGTGCGGCAACTGACAGTGGTATTTTAGTTCCAAGATATAGCGTATCCATACCAAATCTATGACTAAAGGATAGCGTACCATGGGTATTACCTTGCCCAGTTTCCAGTGGACCCTCCGCTCTCGCCGCCCCGTGTTCTTGAGGATCAATTTGAAATAGAGAGGCCATTTCCATACCTGAAACATCTATCGAAGATATAATTAATTCCAACAAGTCTGAACCAAAACAAAGAAGTAAGAGTACCTACCAGCTCTTCGAATATTCTGAGCAACTGGTCGTTCTGGGGGGGGCTTGATGGTCTTCGAAATGTCGGCTTGAATTTTCGAAGTGTTGAATGAGATATTCGTGCATCACATCTCACGTTGGCCACCCTGCCTCTGTCACATTTCCTGGATTTTCCACTTGCAGTGACACATAGTCGAACACTCTTAGCATTTCTCCGCCTTGAACACGGTTGGGAATAGTCATACCCTTCCTTGTATTCATCCATTCCCGAGAAAGCCGTGGCCCCCAAAGGTTCTTCTCGAACGTAACGCGGTTGCTCTTCTTGACTAGTTATGAAATCCGGGACGGATGGAAAGGGGGAATCATGGGAAAACGAGTGACTCATGACTGAGGGTTGGGTATGAGGGTAAATTGATGTGACGAGGAGTAAGCAGCAGATCAGCTCAAAGGTTTTCAAATTCATTCGAAGGAAAAAAGGACTGCAAGGTAGAGTTAAATGAGACGGACAAAGCAGCTTTTACACTTTGATTGTTGCGTGATCTCATACATAAGTTCTACGAAGTTCGCAGATGACTAAAGAACCAAACAATGAAGATCGTGTTGACACCTTTTTAAAACCTAGAAGACAAGTGTAAAACTATGCCCGTAGTGGAGTGTGATTCCTGTTCAGTGGACAGCTACGCTATAAAGCACGTCGAGACACCATGATACTATCAAACCATTGGCTTTGCTGCTTGACAAGAGACTTTTACATATATTGGTCCTTTAGTTGCCTCTAGAAAGGCCTATGCAAGTGACATACCAGCATCATAAGCACCACGTAACGAGTCCCACCAATAACAAAAATTCTAACATCTTCGATGATGATCATGGAAGATTGACATGTATGTCTGCCCCACTGGTGTTGTCCCTTTCAGAGTTGAATCAGCTCTTTATTCTCTCTGAAATGAAATATAGAGCCCTTTGAAAGACTGGACTCAAATGAATTACAAAGCCCATGAAAAGGCTGATCAAAATTTCGAGATCATCCTAACCTGTTCGAACAGCGTGACGTCCTCACTTGAGCCCAAGGTCATCTCTTGGTTATTGAGATCTTTAATTGGTCAGGGATCCAACATCATTCAACGTTTATCTCCAACTTTTGTCCCAATGACTGACGCTTTTTCACAACATCAGTCTGCATAATGATACCAGCTTTCAGTGACCACATGCACCACGCCCTCATTCCGGAGCTGCGGGCCCTGGCGTTCCATGACCGAGTACCAACTTCACCAGCGGTACAAGTCAATACACCTCAGCGCACCGGTCGTTTTAGGATTTATGTCCAAGGAGCCCTAGAACAAGGATTCTACCATAATATTGAGGATGGAATCAGTCAGCATTTAGAAACTTACAGATTCCTCAACACCCTCGAGCTTGAAGCAATATCCGACACAATCAACACTCTAGAAGACGAGATTCATGACATCGGTGTCACCCTCAGCGAGTCTCAAGATGCAATTGCATACGTTCCAATGTTGTTGCGTTCACGTGACCCAGAAGTTGTTCCCCACCACCAGCTTTACAAAAGACAGCTCAAAATTTCGCGTAAAAAATATAAACGATTTATGCGTACACTTGACCGTTATCATAAGGAAATTGCAAATCTTAGGGCAATTCATTCCCAGGAGAGGTGAGTAGCTAAACAAAAAATACATGTGTACACTTTTTATCTAGGGTGATGATGCTGACTTGATACACGTTCTCCCTCTTTTTACTGCATCAAAACCAGCAAACGCACCTGTGATTTTGAGGATTCTGAAGCTGGATTGGGCTCTACAACCGAATCAACTTGACTGAGAAATTATTTGATCTTGATGACTTTAGTTGATTTGAGTTGAAAAACCCCAAGCACTAGGAGGGGACTTATTAAGTTCGACTAGATCTACACACTCTTTTATGTTTGGATTGAGATCACCAGCGTCTCAGCCAATTGATGGTCTATAAATTGGGCTTGAACAAATGTGTAGAATCCTCAGAGGGAATAGAAGGCTCGAATTTTCTTTATCATCAAATCTCCACATATTTGCTTTGTTTGTCCACCAAATCTCATTTCGAACCCATTACACCTTACAGAAGAGCACCACCACGCCAAGCTTTGAATAAGATGATTGTTCATTATCTTGTAACATGCAACACAAGACAAACAGACAAAGAGAAAAAGATAAGGAACTAATGAAAACTATTACTTAGTACTTGATGTATTTGATACGTAATTTGATGACCATCTAACAATCTTGAAGGTTCGCCAAATGAACTTCTGGGTTATACTTTTGATCCTCGAACAAATGTGCATTTCAATACTCTGAAAGGCGCAGCTTTACCCAGATATCAACGTGCAAGGCAAAAAATCTGGTAGATGCGCGTATATACTAAGTCAGACTGAGTCATCCAAACACACAACAAATATTACTATTGTATCTTCGTACATGCCTCAGGGAGAATCTGCAAAGTTTATGAGGTGACTTAGGAATAACATGGAAATCTGATTATTACATGCGAGTAAGCTATGAACAAGGTTCGAGATGCTTACGTGTTGAAGTTCCCTGCTTAGCATTGTCGTTGGCTGCCTCATTTACCTCACACATAAAGTCAAGTCTGGGTCTTTGTTCCCCTCAACAATTTCAATTGTCTCAATTTCACCGTCACCGTTTCGTTTCTTACCTTTCCTCTTCAAAATCTAAAATTCTTCTCAATTCTTCAGTTCGTAACTCCTTGTTCGAACTTCGAAATTACTACGTTTTTTTCCGTTGCTTCTAAATCCAACAACCAATTTTTTTTCGCCTCTTTCATTTCAAATGAGTTCTTCATTGTCACAAGAAAGCAATATAGAGATCATACCACTGGTACCGGACACTGTCATCCACATCAAACCTAGATCTCCTCAATCTGTTCGATGCAAGACCGAGCTCAACGAAGCATTGAAAGGGAAAGAAGATTACACGAAGGTACATTTGTATGCCAAGCCGTGTTCCAGATGCGTCAGGACTACTCGAATCTGTGTGACCATCCCCAGCAAATCCCTCAAGTGACGAGACTGCAAGGCCTTGAAGGTAGTTTGTGACGTCAATGGAGAGGAGTCTACCCAATTCATGTGGATGCAAAAAAAAGATGGAAAGCTCTATCCGGATTCGAAATTCGATTAAGATCACCAAACTTTGGCTTCGAGCACTTGTCTTCCTGAGGATCTCTCCCTGTTGGCGCCGGAGGATGAAGCTAGGGTTGATGATTGGTCAACAATGACACAAGGTAGGTTACCATCCTTCGATTGTGTTTTCTTGGAGATGCGTGTTCGGGAGAAACATGATGAGCTAATTGATGTTTCTTCTTAGATCTCGAATTGCTCGCTGCCACTGCACGACAAGATTTCGGCGTGGAAAAACCTTTGAGTCGAAGCCCGGGGTCAAGAATCATACAGGATGATCTCAGAGCCGGCGCATACCTTCAAGATGTGATGGGATGGCAGCGAAGCCTTCAGGCACCACCCTTCCAACCACCACCTGGTTGGGATCCCAACCCAAACAAACCATCACCTCCTAACCCAAGCGAACCACCACCCTTCCAGCCACGACCTTCGAACGCAAGCCCAGGTCCATTGAAAAAGAGACATGTGGAGGATTCCGCTAGCTCTGAAGAAGATTATCAACCAAAAAGAAGGATCAGAATCAAACTTCGTAGTCCCGTATCAGAGGAGGACGACCAACCCTCACCCCCTGCACCTCATCGCATGCCTCATGCCTCCCATCTCCGATCATCTCAACACACATCCTTGGATCCTCCTCGATCCCTGCCTACGCCTTGGATTCGACCCGCTCACGCTGCTCCGGTAGACCGCCTTTCAAACCTCAGAACAACTTGACGCGCGTCTGCTGCTCCGACACCCTACCTTTCAAACCTAGAAACGGCTTGACGCGCGTCCGCTGCTCCCGAACCTACCCTTTCGAACTCAGGGACTGCTCAACACGCTTCCGCTGCTCCTGCACCCTCCATTTCAAACTCAGGGACTGCTCGACGTGCTTACCGGGCTCCTGCACCCCCTCTTCCGAACTTAGGGACATCTCGAATCGCTTCCCCGGCCCCTCCAACCTCTGTTTTGCCTCAAACCTCACAAATCCCACTATTCCGATCTTCACCAATGGAAGAGGGGGGACAAAGCGATGAACAAGTCCAACTTCCTCATGACAACTCGAGACAATGCGACCAACAAGTCCAATCTGAAGAGAGACACGCCGCAGAACATGGACAACGTGTAAAGGATGATACAAGATTAAACAAGCCAGAGCATGAACTCTCTCTCAAACCTGAATTTTTACAGGGTTTACAAAACAAAAAGACTGGGAGCGACCAGGGTGAGGATCAAGACTCAGATGATAGCTCTATAGACTGGGGTGAAGCCAAGCCCAACACGTTTGATGGTCAGTTGGTGGGGGAGCAGATGAAGAAGAATGTAAAAGATATGATGAAGTTCATGGCAGGTAAAATGGTGGATATTGCTGCTTTTATCCCAGCTGGTAATAATTTCAATAATTTCATGACTATACGTAGGGAGATTCAAGATAAGTGGAAGAAATATAAGGAAGATGTGAATGAGGCCCTCAAGCCTTTACAAAACCTATAGATTGGATTTTCAATTTACTTCTTGTTTTCAAAAAAATACTCCTTAACTTTTTTCGAAATATCTACTAACTTGATTTCAAAAACGACTTGTTTTCCAAAAAAATATCTACCAACTTGTTTTCAAAAAATGACTTGTTGTTCAAAAAAAAATTATTTACTTGTTTTCAAAAAGTCTACTGACTTGATTTCAAAAAAGACTTATTTTCGAAAAAAAAATTACTTGTTTTCAAAAAGAAATTCTACTTGTTTACAAAAAAATCTAATTACCTGTTTTTTAAAAATTGTTAGCGGTGTTGGTGTCATCTTTGCGTTTTGAATTTTATCAAATATCGAAATCAAATCCCTCAACACTGTCCAAGGTATTTTTTTGTGCTTCTTGTCATTTGTTTCCTCGTACCATCAGGTACTTTTTGGTCTCACTTTTTCAATGAGTAAATCTACTTATCTTCAAGAAAGAAATTCTAATTGTTTGCAAAAATAGTCTAATTACTTGTTTTTAAAAAAATGTTGGTGGTTCGTCTATTGGTGTCGTATTTGTGTTTTTTATCCTGTCGAATTTCAAAATCCAAGGTTTTTTGTGCTTCTTATGATTTGTCTTCTCGTACCATCAGGTACTTTTTTTGTCTCACTCGCGCCACCACATTAGAATTTCTCAGGCTCTTTAACACAAGCAAGCTTTAAAATGACTGTGAGAACGCAGAATGACAAGTTTGTTTGTCCCCTTGTCAAAATTTTGCGGAGCATAACTTATTTCAAACTTCAAAATTTTGATGTTCGAACTTGAAGTTGAACCTCGAAGTTCGAAGTTTGAAGTTCAAAGCTCAAGTGCAAGTTCAAACTTCGAGTCCATTCTGGTAGTTCAAAGTTTGGAGCTTTGGTTTTTATAGTGTAGGTATGAGGGACGCAATGAGTGCACGAGAGTCCATTTACCGCACTGCTATGACAAACTCGCCAGCGGAGGATTTGCTACCTCAAATTTATTCACAGACCATGTGAATGATCAAAGGAAATCCTTACGCAAGAGTCCTAGAACTAGGCACCACATATTTCCTGAGGTCGCGAATTTAGAAGGCAATATTTGGAGAACACAAATCCTTTCAATAGGTGTCTTTTCCCCCGACCATCTCCTCAGTACTGATTTCACAAAGACTCCCTTTCCTCTATTCACCATTCTTTTCTAATTCTGAAGACTCTCAGTCTTTGTAAACTCGGACTTATTTTTTGATTTTTTTAAATCTAATTTTATAAGTGGTTAAATACCGTCCAAAAGAGATTCTAGTGTTCGAGAATAGCACCGAATTAAAAGAGAGAGTGCAAAGACAACACCAAAGTTGGTTCGGAAGCTGGAATTAAATCGGGTACGCAGGTCCGAATTTGGTTCGGACCTGGGATTATATCGGGTACACAGGGGATTGGATCGTACCAGAAACACCGAAGTGAAATCCCCGGGAGGATTGAATCGGGACCAAATGGCCGATCTTTAGTTGGTCAAAAAGTATGCGATGGGATGGTTTCATCGCAGCTATGGTTGAGTCGGATGAGCACTTTGCGAGTAGCCATCGCGCCTCAAGGGACTGAGGCTCAGTCGGTTGATATACATCCACTTCGACATTGCAACTGAGTCTCATCGGATGTGCCAAACCGTGTCTGGATTGGACTGAGGAATCAGTCGGGTCTTTCAGATCCGGTTTGACATTGCAAATCAACCGTATCGCACATCTCGGCCCCAAATCTGATTTGGAACACCGTTCCCAATATGACATCAGAATGGACGTTCCGACGCGAATTTCTTGGCGGTGTGTGTTTGTATTACTAATGTACCATTTAAAGCTATTACAACTTATCACATTACAGATTGTACCATTTGAACCTATAAAACATGTTTTCTTTTGTATCAAAATATTTGTAATGGATAGAAAATGAGAGAAACAATTAGATAAAAAACGATTTCACTATTCATATCAAGAAAAACTATTTGACTATTCATAGTCTGCTAAAACCCCCGCCTCTTCTTTCAACC